GAGGGGTTTAGGGTTGAGGGGTTTAGGGTTTTCGGGGTTTAGGGCGTGGGGGATATGGATGCCCTCGCAATCCTTGTACTCTTCGCGCCTCTATGTTACGTCAGATTTGAGTTGAGGATTTTTTGTTGCGGACGTGGGAACTACGGCAAGCCGCCAACTCAGTAGCCCAGTAACCATACTGTAATAAGGGAACCCTTTTTTAGTTGGTTACTTTATAAGGGAACCCTCAACCAAGGGTACCACTGGGCTACCAAGCCAAAAAAGTCCTGCAGCCCTGAAAGCCTTAGCCCTGTCATCCTAGGAGCCCTGAACCTGTTCTTACCCTTTAGGGTTTAGGGTTTAGGGTTTAGGGTTTAGGGTTTAGGGACTTGACGTCCAAGACCCTTAAGCCCCAAACCCAGCTCCCACCTCAAGCACAATCGTGAACCCAAACTGCCCTAAAGTCTGAGCCCGAAACTCTAACCCCGCAACTGCCCTAAGCCCGAGTTTCGGAAACGCGAAACCCGAAACGGTCTGGGAGCAGGATGTATAAGGCGTCAGGATATAGGATTTAGGGCTTGTTTAGGCTTCACCAGAGCCAGGGCCCTAGGCGCCAGTATAAGAGCCCTACACTGGGTCGCACGTACTTGTTCTCGGGTTTCGCGTCCCTTAACTGCAATTGGTCTATTCAGGAGACCCCCTGAAGCTTGAACTCCGACAAGCGGCCCCCTCACTGTATGCCATAAACCTTCCTCTACCCTAGACCCTAAACCCTAAACCCGAAATCCTGAACCCTAAGCCCTAAACCCTAAACCCTAAACCTTAAACCCTAAACCCTAAACCTTAAACCCTAAACCCTAAACCCGAAATCCTGAACCCTAAGCATGCGCTGAAGGCGAAGGCCTAAGAGACACAGACAAATGCCATGTCAAGGCCAGGGTGCGCGTCGGCCGGGATGATAGTCCTTGGGGACTTTGGATTTGAGATGGGCTTAGGGTTTAGGGTTTAGGGTTTAGGGTTTAGGGTTTAGGGTTTAGGGTTTAGGGTGTAGAGTTTAGGGTTTAGGGTTTAGGGTTTAGGGTTATCAGGCTGAGGGTCGAGGGTTGAGGGTTGCAATCCCACACCTCCGAGTTGCAGAAATTCAACTCAAGCTTAAACAAGGATGCACTGCTCCATGCTCTACATTCATACTCATGGGCTGAAGACCCTAGCCAAAAGAAGGCTAGCCTTTTGCATCTAGTAGGATTCCATACAACCAAAAAAGGTTCAAGGTTACCTACCCAGTCCCTAGGCACATAACCGTTTCAAAGAGGTTAAAGGTCCCTAAACCTACACCCTAAACCCGAAACCCTAAACCCTAACCCCCAAACTCTAACCCCTAAAACCCAAACCCCATACCCCAAACCCCAAACCCTAAACCCTAAACCCTGCCCCGCGAGGCCTGGGTTGCGAAGTGTCACGGAAGCTACCTGAGAGGCTAGGAATTCCTTGGCCGAGCGGCTCCAGCTTGAAGACCAGCTCGAAGGGGCTGTCGTTTTTCACGAGGAACTGCTGGGTGGTGTAGTCCTGCAGGGGTTTAGGGTTTAGGGTTTAGGGTTTAGGGGGTTTAGGGTTTAGGGTTCAGGGTTAAGCTGTTGGGCTGCAGAGCTTCAATTTTTAGGGGTTAGCTTGTGAGTTTCAGGCTTGAGGTTTACCTTACTAGACGAAAAACTTCAGTTGCAGAGCTTTATGTCCACATTCTATTGTATGCAGGCTCTAGAACTGCCGGCAATTTTTGTGTCCATTGGTCCATGGCCCTTGAACGTACACCCGTGTCCCCACCCTAGAAATAGCAGTAAACCCTAAACCCTAAACCCTACACCCTACACCCTAGACCCTAAACCCGAGAAATTTCCGGCAGAGACGCCGGGTTTGAGGGATAACGGCCTCAGGATTCGAACTGACCTCAACCCAAAACCTTATACCCCAAGCTTAAGGACTTTGATTTTGGGCAGGGGGGTAGGGTTTACAGGGTTCAGGGTTTAGGGTTTAAGGGTTAAGGGTTTAGGGTTTAGGGCTCGGGGTTTAGGGTTGGGGGGGGGCGGGGGTAGAGTTGCGGGCTCCTCCAGCCTTTTAGGCCTGTGGACTGAACCCCTCAAGCCCTAAGCCCCGGAACCACAAGCTCTGAGCCCGAAATGGCCCTAAGAATGCCAAGAAGCCCCGAAGGTGCATGTAAATTATTTTACTTCGAACATCCCCACCTTGCTCCTCGTGAAATGGAAAGAGCGCAAATAGGATGTTCAAGCAAAGACACATTGATTCAAGTACGCTTTCTCATTAGTAGTTTTTGTTTAGACTCTGGGGTTGGGCACGCCAGGGAGACTCTGGCGATGGGCACTCCAGGGAGTCTCTGGGGTTGGGCACTCCAGGGAGTCTCTGGGGTTGGGTACTCCAGGGAGACTCTGGGGTTGGGTTGGGCACTCCAGGGAGACAGTCTCTGGGTTTGGGGCACTTCAAGTTTTTGGGGTTGGGCACTCCAGGAAGTCTCTGGGGTTGGGCACTCCAGGGAGGCTCTAGGGGTAGACCGGGCGAGGAGAAGAGTTCCGGGCGAGGAGAAGAGTTGAGTTTAAAATCTAACAACCCCACACCGAAGGTGGGGAACAAAACCTGAGGTCATGGGTTCCCCTACTACCCCCCTCTATATACTACCCCCCTAGGTGGCCCCCTTACATAACCTTAATTAGGCTTAATTATCCCTAAATAACCTTGCTTATGAAGGGGGGACCTAGGGAGGGTAGTATAGGGGGGTAGAAGGTAGAAGTAGGGGGAACCCATGATGAACAAAAAAGCCATGGAAACCTTGAACATGCTAAACGTCACAAGCGGGCCCTAAACCCTAAACCCTAAACCCTAAACCCTAAACCCTAGACCCTAAACCCTAAACCCTGAACCCTGGACCCTAAACCCTAAACCCTAAACCCTAAACCCTAAACATCCTGCACCCGAAAAATCCTAAAAAGCCTAGGCCTCGAACCCTCAACAGCCTCCACATCCTAAGCCCTAACCCCAAACCCTGAACCCTAGGGTTTAGGGTTTAGGGTTTAGGGTTTAGGGGTTTAGGGTTTAGGGTTTAGGGTTTAGGGTTTAGGGTTTAGGGTTTAGGGTTTAGGGTTTAGGGTTTAGGGGTTTAGGGTTTAGGGTTTAGGGTTTAGGCCCTAAACCCCTTGCAAGCCCTAAACGGCGCGTCTTGTCTCTCAAGAAAAACAAGAATCAGCGCGCCCCGTCCTTGGCCTCGCTGTTGTAGATGACCGCGCCCATGTGGATCACACCATCCTGTTGGGTGTTTAGGGTTTGGGGTTTGGGGTTTAGGGTTTAGGGTTTAGGGTTTAGGGTTTAGGGTTTAGAATGTCTCGGCTAAGGGTTTAGGATGTTTAGGGTGTTTGGAAGGAGGGGAGCTGGTATTTAACATGATGTGTATGCTAGTTCAAACGGAAGGGTGGTGCTTTGTTTCTCGGGTCATCGGATTTTGGGGCTTCGGCCCGGGATAGAAGACTTGGGGTTCTGGAGGGCTTCAGTGGTTTTGGGTCGATTTCAGGTGCAGGGATCGTTTTGCCCCTAACCCGAAAACCTAAAGCCACGGGAATTGCCTACGCTCGGATTGCTGGAAGCGGCTTAGGGCTTGCTTGGGGCTTAGCGTTCGGGAACCCTATGAGGCTGGGCCTCTCCCCTCTCATGCTGCACCCCTCCGCATCTCAACAAGGTCGGAGTCAGGGAGATTGGGTTTCAGGCTTCGGTCTTTTTGGGTTTGGGGTCTTAGTCCTAACCTCCCAAGGACCTACGCATGGTCAGTATAAACATTAAACCCCCAGAGACCTGAACCCCTAGACATCCAAACCCCTAAGCGCCTAACCCCGAAGCTCTACACCCACATAACTCCTGAACACCTAAACCTGAAACTCAGGTTGATCATCTTCCTTACAAGGGGACAAAAAGTCAGCTTGGGATTACACAAAGGTTTACTACTTACTCGAATGCTAAGCAGTGGGGCAAAGACCACCAGCCATGTCAGCATACTTGGCCTCTAAACCCTAAACCCTCAACCCTAAACCCTCAACCCTAAGCCCTAAACCCTAAGCCCGAAACCCTACACCCTAAACCCTCGCTAGAAGTGGGGCTTTTTGGATTTCAGGTCTTGGGGTTTCGGGTTCAGGGGGTCGCTAAGTCGGGTTGCGCTTTTTGGGGTTTTGACTCCTCCTGGGCTTAGTGTGGCAAGGACCCCTACATCTAGACAGCAAGGGCCCTAAACCCTAAAACCCTAAACCCGAAACCCCCTACCATTTCTGGCCATCAAGCACAACCTTCACTGCAGGTCTAGGGCGGGCAGGCTAGGGAGCATCATCTGCAAGGCACACCGATCTGAACCTCTAAACCCAAGCCCCCTAAACCCCCTGAACCCTAAACCTCTGTACCCTAAACCCTCAACCCACTAAACTCTAAACCCCCTGAACTCTAAACCCTACACCCCTGAACCCTAAACCCTACACCCCTGAACCCTAAACCCTAAACCCTAAACCCTGCACCCCCTGAACCCTAAACCCCCCGAACCCTCAACCCCCTAAATCCTCAACCCTCAGACCTAAACCCCTAAACCCCCTAAACCCCCTAAACCCTCAGAGCTAAACCCTTAAACCCCCCAAAACCCTCAACCCTCAAACCTAACCCCCCCCCCCCCCCCCCAAAAAAAAAAAACCCTCAACCCTCAGACCTAAACGCCCAAACCCCTAAAACCCCTGAACCCTCAACCTTCAAACCTAAGCCCCTAACCCCCTAAACCCCCTAAACCCCCTAAACCCCCTAAGCCCACTAAACCCTCAACCCCTAAGCCCCCTAAAACCCTCAACCCTAAACCCCTAAGCCCCCTAAACCCTCAACCCTTAACCCCCTACACCCTAAAACCCCGAAACAACCCTGAACCCCTAAACCCTAAACCCTAAACCCTCAACCCTGAACCCCTAAACCCTAAACCCCTAAACCCCTAAACCCTAAACCCTCGTTCGGTCCTGCGGCTCGATTTTCAGAACGGGGCTCACGCCCTTGCCTCGAAGAGGTACCTGGCAGATGAGCAAACTCGAGCTGGTGGGGGCTCAGGGCCTCAAGGCTTCTTGAGTTGCCCTAAACCCTAAACCCTGAACCCTGAACTCTGAACCCTGAACCCTAAACCCTAAACCCTAAACCCTGAACCCTAAACCACCCTTCATCAACACAAAGACCGAGCCTGCACGCGCGTGTTCTGCGTCCGCAGCTGCAGCGCGGTTTGGTAGATCTGAACGAGCTGCGGCTTGAACTCCACCATGAACCTGGGTTTAGGGTTTTGGGTTTAGGGCTTAGGGTTTAGGGTGTAGGGTTTTGGGTTTAGGGTTTTCACCATGAACCTGGGTTTATAGTTCTCAGGGGGTGTAAGGGGGGCTTTCAGGAGCTGTTGTTGTTTGGGGGTTTTAGGGTTTGCAGAGGATTTAGGGTCTGACGAGGGCTTTATCAGGTTTAAGATGTCCTATGTTGCCTGTTCTTAACGTGTGCCCCCCTCCCTCTCCGCCCCTCTTCCTGATGTTGGACTTCTCTCCTCTCACTGCTCACTGCTCCCTCCATGCATCCAAGGATTTCAATGGGATCCCGTTCTGACGAGCCCATTCAACAAAGCTTGCCGGATATTCATCGCCTCCTTCAGAGGTCATCCACGGAAATAAGGTTTGCAGGCTCCTCATGGTGTCAGCATACTGCCGCAAAAAAGCTTTGCCACGTTTCGCTCCGACGACCCACAGGCCTGAGCCACAAAGGTCCAGTAACAGCACCCTCCACCAAGCTCCGCCAACGCATGCCCGCTGGAGTGAAGGTTTGTCCCCTAAGTCCGAAACCCAAACCCCAAACCCCAGAAACATTCCCCAAAGGGTCCATGTAGCTTTTTTAAATATACTTGGGCCCCAAAGTCCTTATATACGAAGTACTCTAAGGCCGAAGTATTCCGATTTAGGTACATGGACCCTTAGGGCTCTTTCGACTTAAAAGTGGATCCCTCCACATCCCTTGAAACTTGAGGATGCGAGACACTTATGGAACTCAAAGCCATGTGGCCGCACAAGCCGAACTCACACAGCTCCTGAACCTAAACCCCAAACCTTCAACCCTAATTTAACACTAAATAAACAAGTATTTGCTTAAGAACCCCATAAAGATAACAACAATCCCCTTACGACCCTTAAAAGGAAGAATATTCTGATTTTTGGGGTGCCACTCACAAGCCAAAGCCTAAATATCTTGAACAACCAGGTTCAGAGGTCGCTTCCTCATACCGTGCAAGGGTTTAGGGTTTAGGGCTTAGGGTTTAGGGTTTAGGGTTTGGGGTTTGGGGTTTGGGGTTTGGGGTTTGGGGTTTAGGGTTTAAGGGCACCAACCGCGAAAAACCCTACACCTTGTTTAGCCTCATCTCTCCATCGCCTTCCACGCTACACCCCCTAAACCCTAGACCCTAGAAGCGGTGCTGGGGGAAGAAGCTGAAGCGCACAACAGAAAAGAGAGAGAGAGAGAGAAAGAGAAACAGAGAGAGAGAGAGAGAGAGAACAAAAAAAAAAAAAAAAAACATCTCTAAACCCCAGACCCTGGACTGAATGTTTCGGGCTGAACCCCGAACCCTAAACCCTCAGTTGTAAATCCAGACCCAACCTTCCGCCTTGAAGCTCCTTCATCCAAGCCACTGGAAAGGCTTTGATCCCACCGCCCGCGGCGCGTTCCTCGAAGCTAGCAGTTTTTGGGTTTGGGCCTTGCCCTAGACCCTAAACCCTGAGCCCTAAACTTTGGACTGAATTAAGCCTGCATGGCAGCCTCAGCACGCGAGGATACCCTGGGGAACCAGACCCCCGACCCCCCCACCCGAAACGGAGTGGCCGTCCGAAATGCTTGCGGGTCTCAAGGGAGTAGGGCTTTGCTATCATGGGGGCCAAAACCCTTAACAACCCCAACCCTACATACCTAACTAACTGCCCTATCTGCCCATGGGCTCAGGATTCAGGGTGCGGGGGCCTAAAACCCTAAACCCTAAACCCTAAACCGATGTGGAGACTATGGAAGGGGGGGGGGGGGGGAGTTGATGTCTCATGATAGAGAGTGCATAGTTCAGTGAAGTGTGTAGGGGCTTAGGCATCAACCACACGCATCTGAACAGCCCGACGAAAAGATGCTTACTTCTTACGGTCCCATCTCAAAATCTGTTCGTTAACATGCCTTAAAGCATGGAAGTTCTACAACCCTCGGTGTTTAGGGACCTGGGAACCAAGAAAGGCCTCCTTTTCAGACTTCCGCGAGCTACTTACTAAGTCAAAAGGGCTTCCAAGTAGGGTAGTGACATGGTTCCTTCATGTAGGCCCTTAACTCGGGGAACCCTTATGTTCCCCCGTACGCACCCTACAAAACCCAAGGGCCCACACCTCAGGGAACCCTCTAACTTGAAAAGGTGCCATGTTCGGGGATGTAGCTTCCCTTCTTGGTAGTCCAGCAACCATAGTCTAACCAGGGCACCCTTTGTTGGGTTGGTTATACTATAAGGGAAACCAGAACCAAAAAAAGGGTAAAAGAGAAACCAGAACCAAAAAAAGGGTAAAAGAGAAACCAGAACCAAAAAAAGGGTAAAGGGTACCACTGGCTACCAAGCCTTCGAGACAGACTCAAAGCCAGGGGGCAGTATCGTGAAGCCCTGATTCTCCGGTAGAGCTTCCATGTGAAGCTCCTCTCAAAAGATGTGGTCTAGGGGTTGGGGTTTAGGGATTTCGGTTTGGGGTTGAGGGTTTAGGTTTAGGGCGCAATTAGGGTTTAGAGTTTAGGGTATAAAAACATAAGAGCAAAAACGGTCAAAAAATGGGTCCCCACTGAAGGACCCGGGACCGTTTCAAAAGGGGCTGGTGGAGAATATGTCATGCTACAAAGGCACAACCCTAAACTCTAAATCCTCTGCAAGGTACAGATAGCTGCTGCTTCAGTAGCAGGCTTCGTGACGACCCCTTCCCCTTTAAGTATTCCTCGAAGAACGGGCTGTAGCACGCGTCACCAACTTACGGTTCAAAGCAAGTAAAGGTTTAGGGTTTGGTGTTTAGGGTTTAGGGTTTAGGGTTTAGGGTTGATAAAAACAGCTAAAACTAGAAAACTAGCCCTCAGCGTTGTACTACCAGGTCTCCTGCACACCGTCTTCCACCGCGAGGTTCGTGATCACCAGCGGCCTACCCACGGCTTCAAGATTAAGGGTTAGAGCTCTCAGCCCTACACCTCTCTAGTATGATACTATTTTCCCCACCTTTCCAAGAGTGCTCCCCAAACCTGAGGGTAGAAACTCCGGGGTTAACGGCAGAACTCATTCATTCAATTCATCGGGATCCCCTGCCACTACTTCGAAACCCCCATCCCAGGAAACATTGAAGATGCCCTAAACACAACATTCCTGAATGAGCTGCGCGTGAACTGAAGTAACGACATGTGCTGTACCTATCGGGCCGTCCAGTAATCTGCAACAAAAAAAGGTGTCCTTGTGGCCTTAGATGACCAAGCCCTAAACAATAAACCCTAAACCCTAGTAAAACCTTGCAAGAGAACCTGAACCCCAAAAATTGGAATACGGGTATTGCTGGGCCTCCTGGTGCTTTGATGGCCTAGAGTTTGTTGAGAAGCGAAGACAAAGCAACGAAACCCCCGAACCCCAGATACGGACCTCGCCTGAACCCTGAACCCTGCCGTGGGTTTCGGGTTTAGGGAGTAGGGTTTAGGGTCCTAAACCCTGCAGTAGGGCTTCGGATTTGGGGTTGGGGGGCGGGGGAGGGGGTTTAGGGTCTTGCGGATATAGGGCCAGCTCTACCACTGGTGGCTCTTGTCTGCGGGCCCGAAAGTGGGTGATCGTTTCAACAGGACCCACACAGAGGCTCATCAAATCCGAGAATTTGCGGGGTCCAAAACCCTAAACCCTAAACCCTAAGCCCTAAACCCTAGCCCTAAACCCTAAACTCTGGGGTAGTTTAATGGTCCCTTAATATGGGCCCTTAACAAGAGACCCCTTATATACCCCTTAATTATATACCCTATAAAACCCAAGGGCCCATACCTCAGAACCCTTTCAAGAAGGTAAGGGACCATATGAAGGGACCGTGTACCCCAAACCCTAAACCCTAAACCCTAAACCCTAAACCCTAAACCCTAAACCCTAAAACCCTAAACCCTAAACCCTAAACCCTAAACCCTAAACCCCAGCGTCTTCGGACCCTAGGATTGTCCCCCCCCAAGCTGGGCACCTGAGTGCTCGCTGCCCGGCGGTCACGTCGCCGAAGTCGAGCACGGCTGGCTGCATGGCTAAGACGCTGGGCAGCACACCTCAGACGTGTGGTTTAGGGTTTAGGGTTTAGGGTTTGGCGTTTGGGGTTTCGGGTTTAGGGGCTCTAGGGTTTCTAAGCTTGTAGGGTTTAGAGTTTACCGACTGGTTCTGAGTAAGTAGTGAGGGAATGATGTACCCGGTATAATCCCTTGGAGGGTAGATACAAGGTACGTTCTTGTCTTGCCAGCACGCTTCAGAAGTAGGGTTTGGGGCTTTAGGGATTTTGGGTTTAGGGTTTGAGGGTTTTAGGGCTCTTGGGTTTTAGGGATTTGGAGTTTTAGGGTTTGGGGAGCAGGGTTTTTAAGATGTAGGCGGGTTAGGGTTTTAGGGTCTAGGGCTTATCTACTGGTTCTTTGTCGGGAATAAGGGAACGAGGTACCCTATATAATCCCTGAAAGGGTGTTTACAGGGGGATAGAAGGTACCTAAATCCCTCAGTCCCCACCAAGAACGAGCAGGTGCTTTGGGACGTATGAGGTGGACCCGTGTGCCTGCATTCCTGTATTCCAGCTTTTTACCTTCCTTCCAGATACCTACTAACCTACTATTTTTGCTGAGGTTTCGTTGTTGGGGGTGGGTGGATGGGGTGGGTTTAGGGTTTAGAGTGCGGATAGAAATGGTGGAGGGGGAGGAAGCTTGCACCAGAGCCAAACATCTTAACCCTCGAGCCTTAAGCCTCGACCTAGAAGGATCAAGCATGAGTTTTCAACCGTTTACAGCCAGACGAGACGCTACGTATGTCTTACAGTAGCGATCCGAATCACCCACCCTGCTGAAGCTGTTAAGCGCCTGAAATGCAAAAACGCTAACACTTCAAACGTGTTTGGCCCGTGCCTGCTAGCCAGGGCGCAGGTATTGATACCGAGGTAGCAAAACTGATCTCGGCCATCGCGGAATCCCCTCAGCGGTCAGGGGTAGGCTTGAGGATTTGGCGCTTAACCGCTACACCCGAAAACCCTGAAACCCTCAGACCCTAAACCACTAAACCCCTAAAACCCCAAACCACTAAACCCCTAAACCCTAAACCCTATAAACCGGGCCCTCAACTAAGGCAACCTCAGCGTTCGGATTTTATTTCGGGACAACCCGGCGCGGCTCGATAGATTGTGTGGCACCTTGGTAAGGCTCAGCCCCCTACGCGCCAGACTGTGGCAGAGCCCTACAGGCTTCGCACCTGGCCTTAGCTAGTTCATGGTTGGGATAAACATATTTTTAAGGGTACTTAAACCCATTGAGGAATATAAATTAAATTTGTATTATTAACAATAATACAAAGTTAAATGTATATTCCTTATTGGGTTTAAGTACCCTTAAAATCTAACATGGTGACACAGCTACTAGAAGGCACAGGGCCGGACGAGGACCTGCGTCTAGAGCTGGAGTCTGGAGTTCGACGGCTGGGAAAGGGCGACGTCTTCTGCTGATGTACCCACCGTGTGTTGGATCACCAAACACCCTAAACCCTAAACCCTAAACCCTAACCCTTTGACACCACGTGGGACGCCCGAAGCTTGGTGGCTGCGAATGTCGGAAGAAGGGTCAAGCCGCGGTTTTTTTGGGCAGATCGTGTTTTCCCCTTGGAAGTCACCTGGTGCAGCTTCCGGCGCCTGCTCAGTGAGGTGAAGCCCTGAAACCCTAAAAACCATAAAACCCATAAAACCCACCAAACCCTAAACCCTAAACCCGAACGACTAAAACCCTAAACCCCTACACCCCCTAAAACCCTGAACCTCTAAAACCCTCCCTACACCCGCAAAACCCCAAAACCTCGAAACCCTAAAACCCCCAAGGCCCTAAAACCTAAACCCTAAAACCCTTACAAACCCTAAAACCCTAAACCCTAAGGGGTTTGCCTAAGGGGTTTCCGGGGCTTAGAGTTCTCACGTCTATGCCCTCTGCCTCGGTTTGGAGAGGAAGAGGCGGGGTTTAGGGTTTAGTGTCTAAGGTGTCTTTGTTGCTGAGCTCATAAGCACCGAACATGTGTACACTTTTAGTTTTGTAGAGATTATGGTGTCCCAAAAAGTGTAAAGTGTACTCACTCAGCTACTGAGGTGTAGGGTTTAAGGTTAAAGGTTTAGGGTTTCGGGTTTACGGTTTGGGGATTGGCAGTCTTGAGCCCATGCCTTCGCTGTAACGGGCTTAGGAGTTGAGGGCTCTTGCCTACAGGTTCTTTGTCGGGATTGAGAGAAATGTGTGCCCTAAACCCTAAACCCTAAACCCTAAACCCTAAACCCTAAACCCTAAACCCTAAACCCTAAACCCTAAACCCTAAACCCTAAACCCTAAACCCTAAACCCTAAACCCTAAACCCTAAACCCTACACACGCGCTCTCCCAGAATACCCAAACGCAAAGTGCGGTTCAAATTCACATCCCCGCCTCCTCTGCTTTGACCCCCTGCAACATAAGCTTAGTTGCTGAGTTCATAAGCCCCCAAAAAAGTGTACACTTTTAGTTCTATAGGGGATTCTAGTATCCCAAACAAGTGTAAAGTGTGCTCACTCAGCTACTAAGATATGGGCCCTTAAAAGGAGACTCATTATGCACCCCTTATACACACAATAAAACCCTAGGGCCCATACCTGAGAACCCTTTCAAGAAGGTAAAGTGTGCTCACTCAGCTACTAAGTAGGGGGGGATTGCTGGCGGTTTGGGATTCGTGTTATGAGGGTTTAGGCATCAGGGTCTGGCGAGGAGGCTTGGGGTGAGGGAAAAAGATGCCTCCCTAAACCCTAAACCCTAAACCCTAAACCCTAAACCCTAAACCCTAAACCCTAAACCCTAAACCCTAATCCAGCCCGAAACAAAGAACCCGGCAGTATAGCGCAGCCTTGGGCTGCCAAAACCCCACCCCTTGAAGAACCCTAAACCGTGAACCTCAAACCCTAAAAGAGCTTCAACCTTTAAATCCTGAGCCTTAAGCATTACAACTTAATAAACCTGACCCATATGCCCTAAACCCTAAACCCTGAATCTTAACGCCTAAACTCTGTACACCCTGAACCCTGAACCTCTAAACCCTAAACCCTAAACCCTAAACCCTAAACCCTAAACCCTAAACCCTAAACCCTAAACCCTAAACCCTAAACCCTAAACCCCAAACCCCAAACCCTAACCTGCAGCCTGGTGGCTGCGAAGCCGGCTTGAAGCAGATCGGAAGACGCCAGGACCCGTGCACGGTGCCCTGCAGACACTTTGAACCCTAAACCCCTCAAATGCAACTGTGCCTAAACCCTAAACCCTAAACCCTAAACCCTAAACCCTAAACCCTAAACCCTAAACCCTAAACCCTAAACCCTAAAATCCTACACCCTCCTATGCCCTAGAAGCCCAAACCCTAGAGCCTCAACTCCCCCACCGAAAAGGCATAAGTAGCACGGGAGGTCTTAGGTGTCGGACTCTGCTTAATTTTAACTTTTGTTTATTATTATATTTTTGTTATGTGATTATTATTATATTATTATCATTATCTGTATTATTGTTAGTTTTTTTGGGGGGAGGGGGTGGGTTGCGGGTGGCAGGGGCTTAAAGGGGGCTTAGGGTTTCAGAACAGTTTCAAGGGGGTCGTGGTTTAGGACTGTGCCGGGTTTTTGGTTGGGGTTCAACAGGCAGTCTAAAACATCCAGCCCCACGCCTCGCAAACCCTCACAAACCGAACAAAAAAATCGGTTAACCTGTCGTATATGTAGTAGGAATCTATATAGCCAAAAAGGTTCAATGATACCTAACCTAGTCCCTATGCAGTACTCTGAAACAGGGCAACTAGATAGTCTATGGAACACATTTACTCATTCACAGACACTGAGAAACACCTTAGGGACCAAGTGAACCTTGAAAGGGTTTATGGTTCATGTACCTTAATAAGAATTATAGTAGTAGAGGTTACCCTAAACCCTCAACCCCTAAAGTCCACAGCCTAAAAATTAAACTATCCCTAAACCCTTGATAGGAATTGTAGTACGCTAGAACCCTAAACCCTAAACCCTAAACCCTAAACCCTGACCCCAAATTTAGAGTTCAGTTGGTCCCTAGGCTGCTTGCAACAACCTCTACCAGACAGCAAGGTGACTCTGACAAGCCTGCATGTTGCCAAAAATATGGCTTGGGGTTCGGGTTTAGGGTTTAGGGTTTAGGGTTTAGGGTTTAGGATTTAGGTTTAGGGTTTAGGGTTGCAAAAAATATGGCTTAGGGTTCCTTAGTTGCTGAGTTCATAAGCCCCAAAAAAGCGTACGCTTTCAGTTCTATAGGGGATTATAGTATCCCAACAAGTGTACAGTGTGCCCACTGAGCTACTGAGGTATGGGTGTAGAATTTAGGGTTATAGGGTTTAGGGTTGCTACAATATGGATTAGGGATGTTTAGGGTTTAGGGATGTTTAGGGGTTTAGGGCTTTAGGGGTTTAGGGTTTGGGGTACTACCGACATGCATCTTCGCGAGCAGTTGGCCTCCGCTTCCCATCGCCGGCCGCCGTGCTCGCGGATGTCTTCAATCTGGTGACGCCTGGGGTTTAGGGTTTGGGGTTTAGGGTTTGGGGTTTAGGGTTTAGGGGTTTAAGGTGTGCAGCCGTCCTTAAAAAAACTTGACCACAAGTGGACCTTGTCTAGGCGCCTAGGTGCCAAGAGCTCCCTGCAGACTCTGGTTCGGGGGGGCTCGCGGGTCTTATTTGGGTTTAGGGTTTAGGGTTTAGGGTTTAGGGTTTAGGGTTTAGGGTTTAGGGTTTAGGGTTTAGGGTTTATGTCAAGCGAGTGGCGAGTACTCCTCAGCATCCATAGCGCCGGGGTTTTCCTGCAACATAATTAGGTAGGGACTGGTATCTGCATACCTGGGATGGACCTTCCAGGCATTGATAGGGTTTAGGGTTTAGGGTTTAGGGTTTAGGGTTTAGGGTTTAGGGTTTAGGGTTTAGGGTTTAGGACCCGAAATACATCCGACCTCTATGCCTCTATGCACTAGATGCGCAGCTAAATTCCGACTTCGGCAATTGGCAAATAGAGTTCGACACACAAACACACCCCCGGGAAGGGGGTCATATCTACCTGCGGAAACAAAAACAACTACCGTTTAGGGTTTAGGGTTTAGGGCTTAGGGTTTAGGGTTTAGGGCTACCTCAAAGTCCTATCATGGGGCTTGCTAGTGCAACCTCATGGCAAGAAAGTGGATCTGGGATTCCTTCGCCCTGCAAAACTACACCTCTTGGCTGCACGTAGGAGGGTAGCAATAAATTGCAATTTTTAGCTGCCTTACCAGGAAGCTCAATAAGCCCAAAAAAGGCTGAGGATCTAAAGTTACAGTATGATAAGGGCACCCTTTTTTGGGTTGGTTACCTTATGTTGCTTTCTAAGGGAACCTTGAACCCCAAAAAAGGGAACAAGGGGCACCACTGGGCTACCAAGATTACAACTCTCATGCGCGTGCCACGTCCTCATCTGCCGGTGCAGCCTCCCCGTCTGGGGGTGCTGCCGCGCCATCCTCGCCATCAGTTCCAGGTAACTACCCTGATAAGGGTTTAGGGTTTAGGGTTTAAGGTTTAAGGGTTTAGGTCTAGTCACGGGGCACGGCTTTCGGTTCGGTTTAGCGTTGAAGTGTTCAGAGCTTAACATAGGACCCAGGGTTTAGGGTTTCAAGGTTTAGTACTTGTTAACCAAGTATACCTGTACTTCTAACCCCCTTATGAGCCCCCTACGTGCCCTAACATGGTTATGAGTACAGTTGTAAGCACAGTAAACCTAAACCCTAAACCCTAAACCCTATTATAAGTACAGATAAAAGTGGTTATTCAGTACGATGAACCTCCAAGCAGGTTTCGGTATCACTTTGAGGACGAGGTGGGAATTCGACTCGATGAGGCGCAGGCTAGGACTGCTCTCAACTCGCGCCCCCACCCGAAACTCAAAGCCCCCAAACCCTCAACCTCCCCCCAACCCTAAGCCCTCCACCCCTCTAGCCCTAAACCCTAAACCCTAAACCCTAAACCCTAAACCCTAAACCCTAAACACTAAACCCTGAACCCTGAACCCTGAACCCTAACCCTAACCTAAACCCTAAACCCTAAACCCTAAACCCTAAACCCTAAACCCCAAACCCTAAACCCTCCCCCCGCGGGGGGCTGCTCATGCCTCTGGCTCCGCCGGCTTCTCCTCCGCAGGCATCTTGAGGAGATCGACATACTCCTGCGGTTTAGGGTTTAGGGTTTAGGGTTTAGGATTTGGGGTTTAGGGTTTAGGGTTTAGGGCGTTTTGGGGGCGTGAGCCTGTGCAGTGGAGACAAAAAAGAAACAGACAAGAAACGGAATGAATATCTGAGCTTGGTAAGAATATTTTGAAACCATGACTACACATACAAAATCTTCAGAAGCAACATGTGGACTCGGAACTACATACCATGTTGATGTACTTGTCCAGTTTCTGGGGGCGTCGCGGTTAGCCTTTGAAGTTGTAAAGGCCGAAGTGCGCAAGAGCCCTAAACAGTCAAGGTGTCTTTCCCAACTCCACTACGACCCGGCAGGGACCATTTTTCGGTGCCCTGCTGACTTCTGGTGACCTAGAAACCCCAAACTCTTAACCTGAAAACCCTCAACCCTACCCCCAACCCCTAAACCCAAAACCCTAAACTTAAACCCTAAACCAAGTTGTCCTAGATACCTGTGACGCACCCCATCACCCGCCGTGGTGCAGGCCTTCGTGGGCTTGAACTCCACCTGCGGCACAGCAGATTTTGGGGGTTTAGGGGTTAGGGTCTATCAGGCTTGATAGGGCATCATCGGGTGTTTTAGCGGCTACAGGGTTTTACAGGGCCTTTTGAAAGATAAGGGGATTTTAAGGTTTATGAGCTTTTGGATTTACAGGGGCTTTCGTCTTAGTTAGGGCTTTGGGTTGAGGGCTTGAATTGAGAAGGTGAATTTGGGGACCCTATACGTCGACTCTTGCTCAGAACTAATTTAGTTTAGGGCTTAGGGCTTAGGGCTTAGGGCTTAGGGCTTAGGGCTTAGGGCTTAGGGCTTAGGGTTTAGGGTTTAGGGTTTAGGGTTTAGGGTTTAGGGTTTAGGGTTTAGGGTTTAGGGTTTAGGGTTTAGGGTTTAGGGGTTAGGGTTCAGTGTATTGCTAGAACACGTCAGCTAATGCTATACTTAGAGGATGTAATGTCTCCGGGTCTCCGGGGCCTGGAGTTTAGGGTTGAGGGTTTGAGGTTTATGGAAAGCTTGTACGTGGGGGAAATGTGCCTGAACATGAATGCGACGCTCTGTTCCATGAAAAACTGACTGAACACGATACCAAATCACAAACCCTAAGCGCTAAACCCTAAACCCTAAACCCAAAACAAAAAACCCTTAAACCCGAAACCCTAAACCCTAAACAACCTGGGGACTCTTCTAAGTTGGGACCTCGTGTCGGGGGACCTTTTTCAGTAAGATCCTTCCCTGGACCTCCGGATGCTAAAAAACTGGGGTCTGAGAGGATTGAGGGGTTTAGGGTTTAGGGTTTTGGGTTTAGGGTTTAGGGTTTAGAGTCTGAGAGGATCTGGCAACCAACAAGTAAGTGGAGTCCAGAGGGGCCGAGGCCTTCTGTTCTAAGGGAAACGTAAACCGCAAACCCTAAACCCTAAACCCTAAACCCTCAATGCCAAATAAGGGTTTGGAGTGCTAGCTAAGGAGGCCATGTTTGCGAGGTCATGGCGGAAGAGCCTTCTTGGCCTGTAAAACCCGATTCTAGAGACCCTATACAATATGCCCCTGTACATGCTAAACCCTGAATCCTGAAAGCCTGGTTAACCCTTTTCCCTAAAAACCGAAAGCCCGATTAACCCTTTTCCCTAAAACCGAACACCCTAAACCCCAAACCCTAAACCGCCAACATTAAACCCTACTTCAATTATTACCCTAAACCCTAAACCCCCATTCAATGATTACCCTAAACCCTAAACCCTAAACCCTACTTCAATCCTCAACAGCACAAAGGCCGCGAAGGGCCTGGAGCCGTTGCGACTCTTTCGGCTGCAGCGAGAAGCAAATCGGTGTGACCTTGACGCCACCTTGGCTAGGGTTTGGGGTTTGGGATTTGGGGTTTGGGGATTGGGGATTGGGGATTGGGGTTTGGGGTTTGGGGTTTGGGGTTTGGGGTTTGGGGGGGTTTGGGGTGGTTTGGGGTGGTTTGGGGTGGTTTTGGGGTTTTTTGGGGTTTTTTGGGGTTTAGGGTTTAGGGTTTAGGGCTTAGGGTTTAGGATTTAGGGTTTAGGGATTAGGGTTGGGAGTGCAGGGCGATTGAGTTTAATTGGGGTTTGGGGCTTGGGGCTTGGAGTTTAGAGCTTGAATTAGCGTTTGGGGTTTGGGGTTTAGTGTTTAGAGCTGTAGGGTTTAGGGTTTGGGGTTTAGGGTCTAGAGAGTTCACAGTTTGGGTTTAGGGTTTGTTTAATAGGGTTTGGGGTTGAGGGTTGGGGGTTTCCGGAGTTTAGGGTTTGGGGTTTCTGGAGTTTAGGGTTTATAAAGTTTAGAGTTAAAAGCCCTAAGCCCTAAGCCCTAAGCCCTAAGCCCTAAGCCCTAAGCCCTAAGCCCTAAGCCCTAAGCCCAAAGCCCTAAGCCCTAAGCCCTAAGCCCTAAGCCCTAGACCAAATAGCAGAGAGAGCCACTGCTGGAACCATGGGCGCCACCCGAACCCTAAGCCCGAAACCCTAAACACCAAACCTCGTCTTAGAGAAGTTGCACGGTCCCTCCTTAAAAGAAGCCCCTTATATACAACAACCCATACTTCAGAACCCTTTAGAAGAGGTAAGGGACCATAATCAGGGCCCGTGTAACTACCCTTAGACCTTAAGCAGCGCTCTCTGCAGGCACTGTACAGTGCAGCCTTTCCGTGCTGCGGCCCGCGCCGTGTCGGTCATAGGCCGGTAGCAGAGCACGCAGGGTGTCGCCACGGAGTCTGCTGAGCCCGACGTCCTAGACCCGAAGCCCCACATCCTAAACCCTGAGAAGCCGAAGGGCCTCCCGGAGACCCGGTCCCAAGACGTGACCTTACATGTTGTAAGGTTTCGGGTTTGGGGCTAGTAGAAACCTTATGTAGGGTTAGGGTTTAGGGTGTAGCAGTGGTCAGCTGCACGCAGTTGTGTGCAGACATGCCCACCCCAAGGCCACCCAGGCACTACTCAAAACGAGCCAAAAAAGAGCCAGCCAAAAAAGAGCCAGCCAAATCCAAGCCAGCCCACATCCAAACACTTCTGCACTCAATGCTGTACTTCGGACTAGTAGCTAGCACGCTGCCTTGTGTCCTGGAGCCTGATGCCTTGCTTTTTGCAAGGTGACATCTGAGAAGATGCCTTGGAAAAGATGTTAGATGTCGAGCTTTCGAGAGAGAAAATTTGGTTTTGCATTGGGCGGGCTTTATCACTGCTCCATTCTGGATGTCGGGGTGTCAAGGCTGCATGGCGAAAGATCTGTTGCCATAAAGACGCCTTGCGAAAGTCATGTCTAGAAGCTTGCGAGAGCCAAATCAGCGTTTGCGTTGGGGGCCTTCTCATTGTTTCTATTCTCGACGTCGGGGTGTCATGGTGTTGATATGAACAGGCCTTGTGAGAGTCATGTCCAGAAGCTTACCAGAGCCAAATCAGCGTTTGCGTTGGGGGGTGTCTTCGGCCGGAGGGCCTTCTCATTGTTTTTTCTTCTCTATGCGGGAGCGTAAAGATTGCATGGCGATAGACCCTTTGCTAAACAGGTCTAGAAGCTTGCGAGAGCCAAATCAGCGTTTGCGTTGGGGGGTGTCTTCGGCCGGAGGGCCTTCTCATTGTTTTTCACTCGAAGCGTCGCAAGACCTACTTGTGAAGGACATAAATGAAGCCTTCGTCCCTACATTTTTGAGGGCAGGGGCCTCCTCCCAATACGTGGCCCTTTTAGGGGCCTTCCAGGGCCTGTCCTTGCAAGGGGTGTTGGGCCCTCTCAGGATGCCTCCCAGAACCTTCAAGGCCTCCCAATTTTTGGCACCAAGCCCTTTGAGAGGCCTCCCAACCCCCTCCCAGAGGGGCCTCCCAGGGGCCTTTTAGAGGCTTGCAGGCCTCCCAGGAGCTTCTCAGGGGCCTCCCAAGACCCTCACTTCTAGAGCCTCAAAACAATTTGAACCTCCCAGACCCAGGGGCCTGCCAGGGGCCTCCCAGAAATTTAGGGTTTAGGGTTTAGGGTTTAGGGTTTAGGGTTTAGGGTTTAGGGTTTAGGGTTTAGGGTTTAGGGTTTAGGGTTTAGGGTGGGAGACCGGCTCTAGAGGGCTCAACGGTTGCTTAGATGTCAAGGTCTTGGGCTTATGCCAGTTTACCCTACTTTGGAGTAGACCCTGGAAAAGAAGTATATGCTTCTTAGGTATAGTAGCTATAGTACTTACAGTAGTAGGAACCCCAGAACCAAAACAAGTATTAAAGTATAGTACCCTAAACCCTAAACCCTAAACCCTAAACAACCCTAAACGCTAAACCCTAAACCCTCCGCCCTCCATTGAGTGAAAGCACTGAGCTCCATTGGCGGCAGCACGACATTGAGCATCTGGGCTACCTGACAGAACACAGAGTTTAGGGTTTAGAGTTTAGGGAGGTTGTGCAAGACGCTAGGTTCTATTTGCTGCACTAAACGATCACCCTACGACCCCCTAAAACTCTAAATCCTAAAACGAAGAAAAAAACCTTGTATGTCAAGGCATGAAGCTTCAGCTTTGGGGCCTTTCGTGGTTCAGACTTGCTGGGTGTGAGGCTTGAAGCAGGCGCCATGCCATATCCCGGAACAGAGTCCTGGTTTGGGGATGAAGGATCCTGATTTCGGGTTAGCAGTGGTTGTCGCGCTCTCAAACCCTGAAGGTCCCAACGCGACTAAAACCAGTGGGTCTACCCCCCCCCCCCCCCCTCAAAAAAAAACAAAAACTCGACACACCCTCAACCACTTGTACATTCTAAGCCTCTAACTCTGAACACCCCAAAGCTTTCAACGCTAAAGCTAAACTCCCCAAGCACCCGAAAATCACCCTAAGAAACACCCTGAAACCCTGAACCCTAACCCCGGCTCGCGCCTGGGAGAGAAACACCCTAAACCCTGAACCCTGAACCCTGAACCCTGAACCCTGAACCCTAAACCCTAAACCCTAAACCCTAAACCCTAAACCCTAAACCCTAAACCCCACCCCCCCCCCCCCCCCCTCTTGCCCTCTTGCTGGGCCGCCTTTGAGACGTTTGTGACCACGATGGAGTCCTTCGTGCTGGCGTCAGCGGGGATGGCGGCCAAGTCAAGCTTCGTCTCTGAGAATTCCAAGCTCCTTAGACTCTTGCAGCCCTAAACCCTCAACCCTAAACCCTAAATCCTAAACCCTAAACCCTAAACCCTAACCCTAAACCCTTAAAGCCTTCGAGTTTCGGGTTTCGGGTTGGGGTTTAGAGTTTCGGGCTTCGCGCCCAAAGCTCAAAAAGGATGCGTTCGGCACATCGTTTGTTCATGACTCTGGGTTTAGGGTTTACTTTCAGGCTTTAAGAATGTTAGCATGTGGTGGGTTCAGGGTTTAGGGGTTTAGTATAGGGCGTACGTACTCTAGTTCTTGGTAGAGAATGGGGGAGTAAAGGTTGGAGGCTCGGCATAGAACTGTCCGAGTAGCAGGGCTATGATTAGATCAAATCACATCCGTCAGTATAGGGCGTACGTACTCGAGTTCTTGGCAGAGAATGGGGGAGTAAAGGTGTGCATCAACAGCCCGAACCCTGCATCCGATTTCTTCAGGGTTTACCTGCACCCACCCAAAAACACTAAAACCTCCACACCCTCAAACCCTAAAACCTGAAAACCATAAACCAACCTTAAGCGCACACCCTTAACCTAAACCGTAAACCTTCAACCCCAACGCCAACGGCCCATTCACAGCCCTAAACTTATGCAAACCCTAAAACCTTAAACCTTAAAACTCAAACCCTAAACCAGAACTTACAAACCGCACCCACACCACAGGCGGCGAAGGGGTAGCACGGGCGGCCGGTCTGTAATCACACCACGGACCTCAACCTTAGACCCTGAACTCCGAACCCTAAACCCCAAAACCCACGAGGGGGCCTTCATGAGGTCGTTAAAGGTACTTGGTGGGGGGGGTGTCTATTCGAGGTTTTGGGGCTGTCCCCATGTCCCCACGCCCAGAAGGCACCCAACCTTTACGCCTACACGTTTAGGGTTTAGGGCTTATAGGGTTTAGGGGCTTATAGGGTTTACAGGGTTTAGGGGTAGCATCCAACCCCTCTCCAGAAAACTAGTGAAGGTGAACTGGTGCTTGTCCGGGCCAGGGGACGGCGACATCCCTTGGCCAGTGCAGGATATCACCTGGGGGGGGGGGGGGGGAGTTAAGGTTTCAGGGTTTGAAGGGAAATTAGGGCTTATAGTTTTAGAGTTTATGGGGCTTGCAGGGGGATTTGTAGGGTTTGCAAAGGTTATAGGGTTTATAGGGCCGTTTGTGTTTACAGGCAGGGGGTCTGCTGGGAGAGGTGGCGGAGAAGCAGATTGGCCGCAGTGGAGAAGTACGCAGTGACATACTGGTCCGTGGCCACAGAGCCAAGGCTGCCCCGCTGCACGCCCAGAAGCTCCACATCCACCATGTCTTGGTTTGCTTGGTTTTTGGCGCCGGTGACGAAGCCAAAGCCTCGAACCAGGAAGCGCTTGAGCAGTTCTTGTCGCAGTAGATTCGCCGTGCGCCTGGCGGTGCGTTCCATGGAGTCTGGGCAGCGGGTCCATCTCCAGCATCCTCAGACCGGCCGGGAGGCTAAACCCTAAATCCTAAACCATAAATCCTAAACCCAACAAGCTGGTCTCAAGCTTCTGCGCAGCGATGTGCAGGAGCCGCTTCTGGATGCGCGTGGTTGGCACGGTTTAGGGTTTAGGGTCAGGGTTTAGGGTTTAGGGTTTAGGGTTTAGGGTTTAGGGTTTAGGGTTTAGGGTTTAGGGTTTAGGGTTTAGGGTTTAGGGTTTAGGGTTTAGGGGTTAGGGTTCAGGGTTCTAAGTCATACTTGGACTTCGAAAGTCGGGTTAGTAAGGTGGGGTAGGTCGATTGTGACAGGGTTTCTGGGGGTATGTATGTATGTATGTATGTATGTATGTATATATGTATGTATGTATGTATGTATGATACTAAGTAGACTTACTTAGGAAGCCAAAGGAGCTTCCAAGTAGAACCCTAAAACCTAGAAACCCTAAATGTTAAACACGATTACCAAACCCGAACCCTAAACAATAAACCCTCCACCCTAGCCCTAAACCCTAAACCCCAAACCCCAAACCCTGTATCTAGGTTATAAGTCCACGGACTTAGGGTTTAGGGTTTAGGGTTTAGGGTTTGGGGTTTGGGGTTTGGGGTTTAGGGCGGAACACAAAACTGGGTTGCTTCAAAGGAGAGCGATTCATCACCCCCAAACCCTGAAGCCTTTTGAAACCTCTCTTGGTAGTCCGGTAACCATATATCATAATGAGGGCACCCTTTTTGGGTTGCTGGCTTTGTAAGGGAAACCATAACCAAAACAGAAGGGGAAAGGGAGCAAGTTCTAGACTATGGAACCTCAGACACCAAGAAGTCTTCACGCACAAATGTAAGGGACCATATTGGACGACCCGAACGTTACCCTGAGACTACACATCCCCACCCCCACAGGACCTACAAAGTATGTGACTCAAGCCCCCAAACCCTCACTATTCGGCGGGATACTGAGTACAGTATAGGAAGGTCAAAGGTTTAAGCCTTGCCTTATAGATCCAGGTCATTACACGGCTTGGGATTTGTTGCTTTCCATTGTTGGGGCATTGCGCTGGCAGCCACTTGCCATTTGACCCTGGCAGACTTCAGCATTTGGGGGGGGGGGGGGGCCCGCGGCTTGCTTAGGTTTGCAGTTTAGTCGTGGAGGTCTCAGTGGAGGTCTCAGGGGGGCTTGAAACAAAGTAGGTGTTCGGGTTTGGGGTTTAAAGTTCAGGGTTTCGGGTTTCGAAGGCAGACCAAGCTATCTACAACTGTGAGCCATGTAGTCTTGCTGGAGTTTTGCAGACCCTTCCCTGCCGGGCGGCAAAATCGCGCACGCAAAGGTCACCAGTGATGACCTGCCGGCGGTCAGTTTTTGAAAGAAGGGGGTCCCTGTTTCCCTAAACCCTAATCCCTAAACCCTAAACCCTTTTCCCTGTACGGCCAGCCCCTGAACCCCGAACCCTGTAGAACTGACAGGTGGAGGGTGCCCCAAATCCAAATTCAGCCCAATTGCGGTGTGGGGCCTAGTGTCCCTCCCCATGGTCATCATAAAACAACAAGCAAAATGTGAAAAGTCTAAACACAGTCGGCTCTTTTGTAGCCTAAACCTCCATACCCCCGGAAAGCACCAGAAGCCATCACAAGTCGTCTTCTACCCCGAACCCAAAGCAAGCGTGGCATTCCTGATGAGCTTTGTCTATGGGACCCAAATTCAATGGCAGTTTCTTTTGAATTTTTGGGGTACCAACATTTATGGACCCTCCCTCAAGAAGAACTACAGTTAACTGTCCAGGTCCTCTCGAATTCAGAGACTTGGTGCTTCTTCCTCCTAGCGGGCTAAGCTCTGACGTTAGAAGCGCCCCCCCAAAATCAAGACTCATGGAGAGCAGTGCCAAGAGCATCATGTCGACAGATCAGCTCAAAACCCCCAAGCCCGAACCCCAAACCCCAAACTTTAAGCCTCAAATCCCTGATATAGCCCGGAACTTCTTAAGACTGGCCCGGGACCTCAAGTTCAAACTGAGATTTCAACCACCCTCCCCCCCCTCCCCCCCACACCCCACCGCAAATAAGGGCCTCCCCCTAGATACCCTAAACCCTAAACCCTAAACCCCCTAAACCCTAAACCCTAAACCCTAAACCCTAAACCCTAAACCCTAAACCCTAAACCCTAGAAGGCTTCGGAGGGCTCGAAGTTGGGTAAGCAGTCTGATTATGCAGGTTCCAGCTCCCCTAACCTTTCAACCTTACACCCTAAACCCTGAAGCCCCCTTAAGCCCTAAAACCAGTACCTCGAAACCTTAAACCCCCACACCCTAAACCCTGAAGCCCTAAAGCCAACTAGTAGAGTAAGGGGTTAAGAAGCCCAAACATAAACGCAAAGGACGCTCGCACCTTGCACAGGATCTTGTTGTCCATCTCCTGAGCGACTTCTTCGTGTTGCTTTCCAGCCCTGGTGTATAGTCCTTCACCAAAACCCTAAACACCAAAGCAGCAAGCCTCCACCCCGCACCCCCAAAGCAGAATGCACGCGTTAAAACCAAACAGGGCGGCCGGGGCCGTCCCTACATCTTAGTAGAGTTAGAAGCCTAAGTCGCGCTGTCAGTCCCATTTTGAGGTGGGAATCCCGATTAAGTGTACATAGCTTAGGCGGACTGCTACTTGGAGAGTAACCCTGTAATCATACCTTTGAAGACGTCTATACCGTCTTAAGGGGGCATACGGGTGGTTACGATGGGCGACATTCACACCTTCCGCCCCCCATAAACCCTTCAAGCTCCCAAAGAGCCCAATACTCCTTATTTAAGGACTATACCTTAAATCATATAGGGATCCTTAGTATGACGTAGGGTACATTCCTTCATTAAGGGGTGTTGGGCCCTTTAAGCTTGAGAGAGAGTGGAGCTTCCCTCGGTGAATCTCAGCGTCGATGGCCGACTCGGGCGTGTAGAGGAAGGACACCTGCCGCTTCTCACCTGGCCAGGCAGGGTTTGGGGTTTGGGGTTTGGGGTTTGGGGTTTGGGGTTTAGGGTTTAGGGTTTAGGGTTTAGGTTGTAGGGGTTAAGGGCCTAGGAGCTTAGGCTTTAAGTTTTAAGGATCGCTTCAGGAGCCTTCTAACGGTTTAGGGTTTAGGGTTTAGGGTTTAGGGTTTAGGGTTTAGGGTTTAGGGTTTAGGGTTTAGGGTTTAGGGTTTACGGCACGAGCCCTATGGTCTTTAGCATACTGCCTTAGGCTGTAGGTAACACCAAAGCCTAACCTAAAGGCTTTGGCCCTAAGGTTAACTGCTTGGGACAAAACTGCCGAGAGGCTGAACACCTCGACTCCAGAACCTCAACCCTATTAGCCTAAAACCCTTCGGCTACAACCCCAAAACCCCAAACCCCTCGGCCTCTCAGCCCGAATCCCCAAACCCTGAGCCAGAAACCCCAAGCCCCATGCCCAGCCACCTGGAAGCAGCGAGCCCATGGAGCCGTCAATGCCAGCGTCGACGACCTCAGAAGCTGGTTCGGGGTTTAGGGTTTAGGGTTTTAAGGTTTAGGGTTTAGGCTTTGGGCTTTAGTTTAGGCTTTAGGCTTGAGGGTCTACTGCAAGGGCTAGGACTGGGCTCCACGGCACTTCGCGAAAGGCTTTAGGAAGCGTGGGATGCTTCTAGTTCAAAATTCTCGGGCTCAAACTTGGTCAAACCCGCCTAAACTTTAAACCCTAAACCCTAAACCCTAGACCTAATCCCTACACCCTAAACCGTCCAGGACAGGTCACATCCTTGCAGGAACCCTTACCGGTGTAGGCTCGGAGCCGACTTGCGCGAGGGCCTCTGTGGTTTTCGCCTTCACTGTTCGTGCTTCTCGCTTCTGCTGATTGGCTGTCCTGTGCCGCCCGTTTCGTGCATGTCGACCGCCGCTGGCCCCTGTGCTTCTCTTGCGTAACTGAAAGAGATCTCGTCCACCTCAACTTCCACCTCTCGAGCTGATGCCCAGCAGCGATACAGCCGCACCTCCCTTCGCATGTGCTCCTGGAAGGAAACCCTAAACCGGTAGCCTAAACCCTAAACAGCCCTAATCCTAATCCCAAAAAACCCTAAACCTAAACCCCAAACCCTAAACCACTGCAGGTCCTCCACATTCCGAAAGTCTGGGTGCTCTAAACCCTTGTGTTTTATACCCCGCGGCCCCCTTTCGCAACAATGAAGCTCGCATCCCGTAAGGGAAAGCACCTACCCCCCCCCCTGGATTGCAGACTCTCAGTTTAGGAGGAATGTAGGGCATCCCTAAACCCTAAACCCTAAACCCTAAACCCTAAACCCTAAACCGTGACTCCTCGGTTATCATCTTCGGCCTTCTCCCTGACACATTTTGAACCAATGAAGGGAAGGGGGGGATGGTTTATCGCTGGGACCTTTAAACCCCAGACCCCTAAACCCTAAACCCTAAACCCTAAACCCTAAACCCCAAACCCTAAACCCTAAACCCTAAACCCTAAACCCTAAACCCTAAACCCAACCCAAACTGAAGCCTAAACCAGGGGCTCCTAAAGGCCCGAAGGAGGTTATTACTTGCTACTCATCGGGATTCGGCTTTAGGTTTTTTTTGGGTTTAGGGTTTAGGGTTTAGGGTTTAGGGTTTAGGGTTTAGGGTTTAGGGTTTAGGGTTTAGGGTTTAGGGTTTAGGGTTTAGGGTTTAGGGTTCAGGGTTGTGAGGGTTTTGGGTTTAGGGCTGAATTATCAATACGAACTCTGAAACCCCAACAGTAGGTGTTAGGCACATACTTGGTGCGCAAGGCTTAGGATTTAGGGTTCAAGGATTAGGGTTTTTGGTTTTAGGGTTTAGGGTTCAGGGTTCTTTAAGGCATAGGTTTTGTGGGTGTAGGGTACCCCCCCCCCCCCATGCACAGAAGGAGACTATACTCCAGATGGAGAAGCTAGGGCATCCACAGTCAACTCACAGCCTTAACTTGAAGATAAAGCTCGAATACATATGGTGAGTTGTCTAGCTTTGGGTCCCGTTTAGGGTACCCTAAAAAAGGAGGGGCCGCCTTATAATAAGGACCCCAAAAGGACCATGAAAATTTTAGAGAGATCGCCACATATGCATGTAATGTAGTCGCTATAACTCCACTCCACTACAGTCCCGCAGAAAGAAGGCTTTCCCCTTAAGATCCCTTTGCAAGAGTTCGCGGGGTGGCCTCCCCGCAAAGACCTTGACCTCAGCCTCTAGACCCTGAGCCCTAGAGGCCCTAAGTCTGAACCCTGGAAGCCCTAAACCCAAAACCCCAAACCCGAAACCCTAAACCCAACCCAAACTTAAGCCTTAACCAGGGACTCCACAAAGGCCCGAAGGAGGCTATCACTCGCCACTCAACGGCTCTGAAAACCCCAAACAGTAGGTGTTAGGCACATACTTGGCGCCCCAGGCTTAGGGTTTAGGGTTTAGGATTTAGGGTTGAGGGTTTTAGGGCTTAGGCTTGTTTTGGTTCAGGGATTAGGGTTTGGGGTTTAGGGTTACCCTAAACCCTAAACCCTAAACCCTAAACCCTCAACCCTAAACCCTAAGCCCTAAACCCTAAACCCTAAACCCTAAACCCTAAACCCTTGAAATGTAAATACGAAGCCCTCAGCCACGCTGGCCGAGGTGCCGCGATGGTCCCCGGTTTCGCATCCAGGCCACCCCAGGACTGCCGGAACGCTTTACGGGTTTGGGGCTTTTAGGGCTTTCTAGAAGGGTTTAGGGCTCGAGGTCTAGGGTTTAGGGTGTTTTGGGTTTAGTTAGGGCTTTTTGGGTTTAGGGTTTAGGGTTTAGGGCGTTTAGGCTGGGATGTTCCCCCGTATACTAACAGACCTTTTATTGGGACTACAATACCCCTTTCTTAGGATCCCTGTAAAGGACTGTTAGAACATCCCAAGTTTAGGGCTTGTACGGGATCTAGTGGGTTTAGGTCTATAGAGGGTTCAGGGATTACACGGTTTAGGGAGTGTAAGGTCTAAGGACTATAAGCTACGTAGGGTTTCGGGCTTATCGGGTTTGGGGTTTGGGCTCCGGGGCTTCGGCTGACTGGCAGGGTTTAGGGTTTAGGGTTTAGGCTTTAGGGTTTAGGGTTTAGGGTTTAGGCTTTAGGCTTTAGGCTTTAGGCTTTAGGGTTTAGGGTTTTTAGAGTTTAGAAGGCTGGTTGCGGACACTCGAAACATGCAAATCTTCCACAAACCTGTCGAAGCCTCATTTGGATAGTTCTCTAAATTCAGGTTCCCTCTTTAAGGGGCCCCCTAAACCCTAAACCCTAAACCCTAAACCCTAAACCCTAAACCCTAAACCCTAAACCCTAAACCCTAAACGTTTCATACGGCACCTTCTAATTAGAAAGGAATCCCGAAAACGGGAGCAGTGATTTTCGAGAACTCGTGCAGGGCCCCGACTCATCCGCCCGGTGAGACCTAGAGAGTCGGAGCCCAAAGCCCTCAATTCCACGCCAGGGTTTAGGGTTTAGGGTTTAGAGTTTAGGGTTTAGGGTTTAGGGTTTAGGGTTTAGGGTCATAGTTTGACCAAGCACCAAGGTGCCCTAAACCCTGCAGCCTTCAAGCTTGAAGGCACGACGACGGCACAAGGTCCCTCCCGAAAAACCCTAAACCCTAAACCCTAAACCCTAAATCCTAAACCCTAAACCCTAAACCCTAAGCCCTAAACCCTAAACCCTAAACCCTAAATCCTAAACCCTAAACCCTAAACCCTAAACCCTAAACCCTAAACCCTGCGCCTCCTCTTCGAGCACGTCCTGAGGCACTTCCTGCCACACCAAACTGGGCTCAGTGCTAGTGTTTCTGCCCACATCCCGGGAAGGATCCGAGAAGTAGAACCCCCAAATAGTACCCTATACCACTACTGGGTCATTCTTAGAGATCTCTTGCTTGATTTGTTGGTTGCGTAGCGGTAGCGCTTTCTTGGTCTTGGAACTCATTCTCTCAAGCCCACATAATGCAAGCACTCAAGTATGGGCCAGGGCTGGTGAACGCACAATATCGTCTCAAGAATATGATTAATGCGCATGCTTCTGACTGTTTAGCTCTTGTTATTTGGATTCCTTGCAAAGCGAATTGAACAACAAAAGCTTCCGTACAACTAGAATGTTTTTTACAGTCTGTTCTTGGGATCGCGACACAGACTGTCCGAATATGTTTTACCGTTACTTTCCACTTCATTTCATGAATCTTGCTGCGACAGTATCTGTCTAATCCGCATGTCTTTTCCCTTGATTTATTGTTCTCCTTTTGTTTCTTGGGGGGGGGGGGGGGGGCGCCCTCATAACAAGTGCTGTAAATTTGCCGTATTTTAGATGGACTGTGGCGCAGAATGTATGTGCAGCATCCCCAAAATCCCTGCAATAGATAAGACATCTCCGAACTGGAGATGCTCAGATTAGTATAGTTCTTGGTCCGGCAGTTAGGGGCGGTATTACCACGACGTCTGCATGGGAATGAAGACAATGTAGAAAGAGCCACAAGGAATTAGATGAACGAAGAAATGCATTAATGACACACATGTTTTTTACATATTAGAGCCTTTTTGAGGGCCAAAGAACCTAATGCAAAAACATGGCCGGCCAAAAAATCCTGTACCCAAACCCTAAACCCTACCCTAAACGACGACATGCCCCCTCAACCCTAAACCCTAAACCCCAAATCCTAAACCCTAAACCCTAAACCCCAAAACCTAAACCTCAAGCCCGAAAAAGAACCAGAATCCGGAGCCCTTGTCCGACCTGCACTGAGAGGTACGACGGTAGCCGCCTTCGCTCGCTCAAGGAGGCGGTCTGGGTCCCTCAATAGCCCTAAACCCTAAACCCTAAACCCTAAACCCTAAACCCTAAACGTAAAAACTAAACCCTAAACTAAACCCTAGGGTTTAGGGTTTAGGGTTCATCTTCTCAAGTGATCACAACTTTGAAGCCCTAATCCCATCTCCTAGACTTGGCAACCCTGGGAAAAGAATCCAGATGAACCTCGGCGCTGGTTTAGGGTTTGGGGTTTATGGTGTAGGGTTCAGGGTGTTTCGGGCTTAGCTCTAGGGGCCTGCGCAACCGACCGCGGGCCTTTGAGTTTAACAGCTGCACGGAAACCTGCCCTAAACCCTAAACCCTTCTGTCAGTGCTTCGAAGGCATGTCAGGCACCCTCGTGTAGTTCCACTTCTTCTTTGTCCAAGACCGTCTCATCGTTCATGGGTTCCCCTACTACCCCCCCTCTACACTATGCCCCCTAGGTCCCATAGCCTTAAGTTTAGGGACAAGTAGGCTTAATTACGGTCATTTAAGGGGGAAGCTAGTGGTAGGTAACTAGGGGAACCCCTACTACTTCTACACCCGAAACTCCAAACCCAAACCCCAAACCCCAAACCCCAAACCCTAAACCCTAAACCCTAAACCCTAAACCCTAAACCCTAAACCCTAAACCCTAAACCCAACACCCCGAACACATAGGGCTCTGCACAGGCGAGGCTCGTGAAGGCATATCTTCGCTTCAGCGCCGACTCGTTCACGATGGTGAGCCGCTGCCTGCAGCACGTGCGCGCGCATCATCTCAGGGCTTGGGGACCCTTTAGCCCCTTGCAAAAACAATCTACCTGAAACCCTAAACCCTAAACCCTAAACCCTAGACCCTAAACCCTAAACCCTAAACCCTAAACCCTGAACCCTGAACCCGAAACCGACGGCTTAAGGTTTACCGTCGAAGAGCGCAGGGTCCATTTGCCATCGCCGGGCCTACATCATCGGGGTTCAGAAAAACTTTAGGACTTGGGGCCACTGATTTTGCAACCGCTCAGCCTCAAACATCCCTAAGGCTTGAGCCCGGAACCCTAAATGCATACAAACTCATATCCCTGAACCTTGACTAAACCCCTTAAACTCTTGGAACCCCAGAATTTGTTGGACCCCGAAACCCCGAAGGGCTTGAAGTTCCAAGATCTCGAGCTGACGTCTTTAAATTTTTAGGGTTTAGGGTTTAGAGTCTAGCGTTCAGCGCTGAAAGCTAGGTAAATGAGTCTAATTCTCTGCTAAAGACCCAGACGCAATCATATCCCCTGGTGTAGCCCAGATGATATTACGGTTTAGGGTTTAGGGCTGGTTTCCATTTACGAGAGAACCCAACATGCAAAAAGAGCAAAAAGGTACCCTGTGAGACCAGGTCCTCCCAGAAAAGTCAACCATTCACCCGGCAGCCAATCTCTCAACACTGGCAGGGCTTTCGAGTTTCGGGTCTAGGGTTTAGGGTTGAGGGTTTAGGGTTTAGGGTTAGGGTTTAAGGTTCAGGGTTCAGGGTTCAGGGTTTAGGGGCCTTAGGGTTTAGGGTTCAGGGTTTAGGGTTTAGGGTTTAGAGAGAGGAATGTCTCGGGCCCGCGCACGGCGGAGGTCCCGACCAAGCACGGGCCGAAGTTCAGCTCTCCGGGCAGGAAGGTCATCCTCAGCGTCTAGGATCTCTGGGCGGATTACAGGGTTTAGGGCTACCCAGGATTTAGGGTTTAGGGTTTAGGGTTTAGGGTTTAGGGTTCAGGGTTTAGGGTTTAGGGTTTAGGGTTTAGGGTTTAGGGGTTGCACCTTCGACCCTTAAGGTTGTAACCCTGGGTTTTGGGGGGGACCCTTTTGAAGATCCTTAAGGTATGAATAAGGGCCATATTGGGAGGAAGTTTGGGGGAACCTTTTGAGGGTTTAGGGTTTAGGGTTTAGGGTCAACCTTAGGGGTGCGAGTCTTAAACCCTTGACAGCTGGGCAGTGGCGGGGTTGTGGAGCGGCCGGGGCGGTGGGGTTGGTGTCTAGGATTCCAAGTATGGGCCCATAATTTGGGTCCCTTGTTATAAACCCTGGTAATTATACACTATGTATAGCAAGGGCCCATACTGTACTTGGGATCCCTATAAACAAGGGTAAGGGACCATGCTACGGGCCCATGGTTCCCACCTTAGATATAGGGTGGGTGTAGGGTTTGGGGTTTATGGGGGGTTGGGTTCGGTGTAGGGTTTAGGGTTTAGGGTTTAGGGTTTAGGGTTTAGGGTTTAGGGTTTAGGGTTTAGGGTTTAGGGTTTAGGGTTTAGGGTTTAGGGTTTAGGGTTTAGGGTTTAGGGCTTAGGGTTTAGGGTTTAGGGTTTAGGGTTTAACAGGGGGGGGGGGGGCGGGCATCCTAAACCCTCCGGAACCATGCTGCTAGCCTGGTCTCAAAGGCGTCTCGCACTCGCCAAGCATGAAACTCCCAAGTTCAGAAAGGGCTGTTACGGGGTTCAGTGTTTAGGGCTTGGTCCGAATTACGTTGCGAATCTAAGTTGTCAAGCTCACAACAGAATTAGGAACCCCAAGGAAAGGAAAACAAAGGACGCAAATAACAACAGCCATCATAATCACGAAAATAATAGTAGCAATGATAATAACAAACCCTGAGAATGATAAAACAAAATGACAATAATAACATGAATAGTCACAAGAAGAATCATCATCATAATTACAAAATAGTGATAGAAAACAAAGAACAAGAAGGAAACTCCTTGCACTGCGTCAGAAAGTCCAAAGATGATTCTCCACCCGCCCGAGCCCTTTACCACCTCGGACTTCGGATGTTCTCCCTTATACTAAGAGTCCCTACTAGGGATTCTAGAAGTCCTCTTGAAAATCCCTTTTAAGGACTGCTAGTTCGTCAGTATCAGGGGGAACATCCCAACCTCGGACTTTCCGCTCCGAGTCGCGCATCTGTGGTGAATGTTCCAATGAGGCAGGTGTTGACCGGAAGCACCTGCGCCAAGCAAAAGCGCACGAGGCGAGATTGCTGGAGAGAAGCCCTCTGACAATCCTCAATCCTGAAATCCTAAACCCTACACGGTCCTAAAACGCCCGGAAGCAGAGGGGTACCGAACTCTATATGTTTGGATGAAGGAATCCCCAAAAGGGTGTGGCGTTGAAAGATGTCCGAACACGATATAACCATCGCTATGCACCATCGCTATAGCCTACGTACAACCCGTGAACCTCCAAGCACATACCATTATAAAATCTTGGTAGTCCAGTAACCCATCTTATCATAAGGGTACCACTAGGCTACCAAGAAGTCCAGTGTTGTCCTCCGGTGTGGAAGCGGGATCGCAGAGTTTGGGATTTCGGGCAAGCCCAATGGGCCAAAGTCAGCTATGCATGTGGACGGCGCGGACGGGAGGGCCCCTGAGAATATCTCTGGCAATGACGACAAGAACTCGACCCGGGAGTAAACTAGGAATAAACGGGTACCCTTTTTGGTTTTAAGGGGATTATGAGGGAACCCCAACCAGAAACAAAGGGAAAAAGGGCCTACTCCCGGTCCTAGATAAACATGATGTTGATAATGAAGTCTCTAGGCTGGCCTACGCTACTACATCTTTGGCAGCGTCCCTTAACGATAATGGCTTCTAGACTTGGAAGAACCACCATGCAAACAAACGGTCCACAACCTACAGCACGTACCAGTCCCCTAAGCCTGAGACTAAGCCTAAGCTCTAAGCCCTAAACCCTAAACCACAGTGTTGCTAACGTCTGGGTGTGTGTGTGTGTGCGTCCGCACTAGATATATGAATGAACATTCTAGGGTCCCTTCTGTCTCCCAAACCCTAAACCCTAAACCCTAAACCCTAAACCCTAAACCCTAAACCCTAAACTGTCTCCTTTCTACACAGGGCTGACATGTCTTGCTTGTCTCCCAAGATGACACAGTGCAGGGCCTCAGAAACGAGCCTAGGGTTTAGGGTTCAAAGTTCAAGGTAGTAGGGTTTGGGTTTAGGGGACGGGGTTTAGGGTATGGGGTTAGGGTTTAGGGTTTAGGGTTTAGGGCAGGGTTTAGGGAAGGGGTTTAGGGTTTAGGCCTTAGGGTTTGGGAGGCACTCCGATGCCCGGTCGATGCCTGGTCCGCCCCGACAATGCGCATCGGAATCCTGATTTTTTGAACCACCAAAGCCAACAAACCCTAAACTCTAAATCGTAAACCCTACACCCTACACCTTACAGCCTCATGCTCTTGGGGTTTCGGGTTGAGGGCCCTCAAGTTCGAACCGCGGATCTTTCCCGGACCAACGCCGCACCCTAACCCTCATAAAACCTATAAACCTGTGAATCCTATAAACCCCCTAAAACCCTATAAACACTGTAAACCCTATAATACCCTAACAACCAATAACTTGGGATGTTCCCCATTCTAGGGATTGTAGTACCCTAAAACCCTAAACCCTACTAGAATCCCTCTTCAAGACTGCTAGTACAAGAGGGAACAACCCAACCTGAAGGCCTTAGAACCCATCCCTCGGCTGCTTAAAGGGAAGCTGTCAAAAGAGCCGGTTCAGTGTTTAGGGTTTAGGGTTTAGGGTTTAGGGATTGGGGTTAAGGGTTTAGGGTTTCGGGCTACTGCCGCACAGACTCCGGAACGCACCAGGCACGTCAGGACGCTTGGCGTCCCGATATTCCGGGTGCCTGCTAGGATGCAAGGTGTTTTGCGCTTCAGGCTTTTTATGTAGGGTTTATAGAGGCCCCGGGACCAGCGAGCCGAACTAGTACAACCGGAAAACCCCTAAAACCTAACCCCAACATCGGGGGTGAGAGAGTTGCGTTGCTTCGGGCTTTATGGCTTGGGTCTATAGGGCCGAGGGTTGTTCCTGAACCCTAAACCCTAAATCGTTGGACCCTGCACTTCTGCAATTTGGTTTGGGGCAGTAAGGCTGGAGGGTTCAGGGTTAGGGTTCAGAATTGAGGGTTTAGGGTTTAGGGTTCAGAATTTAGGGTTTAGGGTTTAAGTCGTCCGGGCTTCTGCTCTGCTTCTGTTCCCTGTGTTCAAGGTCTTCTCGAGGCAAAAATCCCCAGCAGAAAGAGCTAGACGCAAATCTCATAAACCCAAAAAACCCCATAAACCCTACAAACCCTACAAACCTTACAAACCCTACAAACTCTGTCAACCCTAAAAACCCTAAACGCTCGAAGCCCCCTGAAACCCTAAACTCTACCAGCCCCGAACGCCACGAATCTGCAGCAGAAAGAGATGGACGCAAATCATAAACCTTGTAAACCCTGTAAACCCCACAAACCCCATAAACCCTATAAACACCAAACACTCGAAGCCCCTAGGCCCTAAACCCTACGGTGGATGGAGGAAATCTTGCACCGCCTGTGAACTTATTGCTACAGGCTGCACCCACTTCTGGGGACTGTGCGTGGAGGAAATCTTGCACCACTTTCATAGGTGTATAACATTCTCTCCCCGCGCCCCCTGCTTAACATTGCGACGAAGAGCAGATTTTCAAGGTTAGGCCCAATGACATACATCTTGCACCGCCCCATCATGACAATCGCCAATGTTAAAAAGGGGGTGCGGGGTTGGCGTCAGACGGTGTGTTTGGAGCAGGCCAATCGGGCGATGCAAGATTTCCTCCATCCACCGGCTCAAATCGGCTGCCACAGGCGGGTCTGGCAAAAGCGGTGCAAGATTTCCTCCATCCACAGTATGAACCCCAAACACCATGAATCTGACTGCAGCTCTGTCACTGGAGCATCTCATACTTGCAGCCCAGATTTCCGTTTGGAGGGGCTTAAGAGGGGCTGATTCCCAGCCACCTAAGGGGTAAACCCTCTCAATCGCTTTGTTTAAGCAGTTCTAGAAGTTTAGAAGTAACTTACCCTAAACCCTAAACCCTAAACCCTAAACCCTGAAGCCCCAAAAAAGAAGGAACCAGGCCCCTGCTGAGAGATCTAGACTTATAGCTTCCCCTTAGGGTCCTTTGAGGGTTTATGGTAGGAGTAATATATGTAGGGCTATACCCCAATCTACGAAAAAGCTCATGTTTTAGGCCCAGTAACTATAATTGCTACTACATGCTTTAGAACACCCCCCCCCCCCCCCCCCCCTCACAAAACTAACAGATCTTGCCCTGCTAGAGATTCACGAAACTGCGGACGCTGGCCTGTCTAGGAAGTCGGCTTTGGGAGCCAGCTTCACCTGGCCATCGGCTTGAGAGGTTTAGGGTTTAGGGTTTCGGGTTTTAGGGTTTAGGGTTAGGGTGTAGGGTTTAGGGTTTAGGGTTTTAGGACTTCAGGGGATTAAGGTCTTAGGAGTTCAGGAAGTTAGGGGTTTTGGGGGCTTGGAAGCCGCTAAGCCCCAAAGAAGGCCTGAGCTTACAACCTTGGAAAGGGCTTTAGAGGGGGTTGGGGTTTAGCGCCCACAGGGTGGCATTTGATTTATTTTGTTGTTTTATTCACTATTTATTTTATTTTCATTTTTTTTGGGGGGGAAATGAAGTATCCCTCAACAAGAGGAACAATTCGGGTTCTAGATCAGGCCCGCATACCCATGAACTCGATGGAGGAGGCGGAGTTCATGGCCCATCCGTAAATAGAAGAAGCATATTAAATTGGCCGAACAAAAACCCACTACAAGACCTTCTCTCAAAAAAAAACATCTCCCAATGGCCTGTCTAGAATAGAGTACATTTGGAATTTTGTGATGGCTCCCACTTAAGAACCACCCGCATTTTTTAAGGAGAATGCCATATTGAGGCCTTGACTCAATCCCGCCAAACACTAGGCAACATCAACAACAAACCCCCAAACACCCCCAAAAGCATCTGAAGTGAGGTTTAGGGTTTAGGGTTTAGGGTTTAGGGTTTAGGGTTTAGGGTTTAGGGTTTAGGGTTTAGGGTTTAGGGTTTAGGGTTTAGGGTTTAGGGTTTAGGGTTAGGTGGGTCATAGAATGAACCCCAAATTCCTACCACCCCTCTTTGGGTCCCTTTTTTTGAAGCCACGTGCGGCCCTGCCTGGATCACTTGTGAGCCATGGCCCTGTATGTAAGCCAGCGCCGTATTCAACCTCTGCGACAGTGACGGTTATACAGCGCGCTGTTGTACGACCTATCTACACACACATACACACATACATATATATATATATATATAATATCTATCTACCTATCTATCTATCGATCTATATACATATATATAATATGGCTCAGGACCTTAAGTTCAAGGGGTCTATAGGAAGCTACTAAATCTGAGGATTTTAGGGACAAAGTCAACTAGAATGGGTATTTCGGGCATGTTGTTGTGTAATTTGTAATGGGATACGGAAACATTGTGATCTTACTGGCTATCAGCAGGCAACGAGTGATTTGGGTACTTTACAGAATCCCTTAACACGTGCAATACAGAGAGATATAAGGTGCCTAATCCCTCATTCCCTACTAAGAGCCGGTTTAGGGCTTTAGGGTTTAGGGCTTAGGGTTTAAGGCTTGGGGTTTAGGCTTAGGGGTTTAGGGTTTCTATTCAGTCAAGATGCTGGAGCTCACCTTCAATCTGTTTGGGCTTCTGCACCTCCCGTGGCAGGCACATTATCCCTTGGAGGGCTATTGGGGTTTACATTCGGTTTAAGGTTTAGGGTTTAGGGTTTAGGGTTTAGGGTTTAGGGTTTAGGGTTTAGGGTTTAGGGTTTAGGGTTTAGGGTTTAGGGGTTAGGGGTTAGGGGTTATGGGTTTGTGTGTGTTTTTTTCGTGGGTTTGCGGTTGAGGGTTTTGGGGCTAGGGGTTAAGGAATTGGGCTGCTGAGGGTCTAGGGAATTCAGGTTTGGGGTTTAGGGAATCTAGTTCATGGTTGGGATCGTATTTAAAATATAAACTCATATTCCTTATTGGGCTTAAGTACCCTTGAAAACGCAAAAAATGTTACCCAACTATGACCAAGGAAGAGGGCGTAAGGAGTATGGACCATGGCTCTGAGCTGCAAGTAAGCAACACCCAACCCTAATGCTTGAACCTTCAGTCCCCTAAACCCCGGAAACCCTAAACCCTCCAATGCACTGTCCCGAAGGGTTATTCCTAGCCCTAAACCCTAAACCCCAAACCCTAAACCCTAAACCCCAAAAACCCTACACCCTCAACCCAAATCATGTATATATCTATGTGTAGAAAAGCAACCCTCAACCACTGGGTGGGCTGGAGTGTTGTCTGGTGCTCACTTGACTAACTACAAGTAGGGGCCCCCCGCTTAGGGATTAGGGAGTTGAGGTGGATTTTCGTAGGGTTCCTACAAGGAGGGGCCCCCTTACTGTAGTAACTATAGCTTAAGGGACTTATAACCTAAGTTAGGATCCTTATAACCCAATTTAGGGCTCTTATAACTCTACTTATAATTAGGGGGCCCCTCCCTGTAGGGAATGCTAAGTAGACGATTACCAGGTCAAGAGAGCTTGCAAGTATCAGCCTAAGTCATGAAACTTACAACCCCCAACTTCGGGGGCCCCTTCTTGTGACTAGCGGCCCTTAGGTTCTATGAGGGATTATGGTTGACTAGGTTGCCCAATAACCCTAAACCCTAAACCCTAAACCCTAAACCCTAAACCCTAAACCCTAAAAGGGGGTTCTAAGGGAACCGAGGGCCCCCCAAAAGGGGGGTTGGGGTTAAAGGTCGCCGGGGCATTGCCAACATGTCCGCCTGTGGTGTGGGGTCTAGGGTTTAGGGCGTTTAGGGTTGAGGTGGGGGTTTACGACAATAGGGGACCTGATGTAGACCCCCCCAAATAGTCGGATCCCTTTGTATCACGGAAGCCTGTTATCGTAAACCGTCAGGCTCTTTCGCCAAGCCCCAACCCATAAACCTTCTAAACCCTAAACCCTAAACCCTAAAGCCCTAACCCAGAAACCTTCCCTTGGTGCCTGTATCTTCATGGCCACAGACGCGCGGTTGCGAATCATCACGCTCTCCCGGAAGATGTGGCCATACACGCAGGTGTGCATGTCGTACCTAAGTGCCGAGGTTGACCCCCCCCAAGTTGTCAGCAAACTTTTGGGTTTTCCAAGTTTAAGTTCTAAGTTGGGATGTTCTACCTTATACGAACAGTCCTTATATAGTACCCCCCATTAAGGACTCTTCGTAGAAGGGGGAACATCCCAAGTTATTAGTACGACTAAAGAAATATGTATGTATGCAGGTATTGGATCGTATTGCAGCCTGGGGGGGGGGGGGGCCTTAACTCCCTAAGCCTCATGACTCAGCCCTACACGTGAGGCAGTAAGGACTGACTCATCTCCCGCTTGTGAGGCCACAAGACCCTTTTGAGCCCTAGGGTAAGTGTATACACCCCAGATCCCAAAAACCCTACAGACCCCAAACCACAAATAGACCCAGGAGGTTTGTAGAAATCGCATACTGTGCCCCAAGAAGCCTCGGAAAGCACCTTAGGCGACTGGCTGCCAGCCCTTGAGCTGGTCGACCAACAGCTTCGTAGAAACCGCAGGTTTAGGGTGTGGGTCCTATAGACCCTAGGCCGCAGTGCCTGGAGTAGGGGCTTATGAAGACCCAGATTTCGTTTTAGGTTGAAGCTCTCGAACTAGGTAGTCGAAGTCGAGCAAGGGGGCTTCCGTACTTGTAATAGCCCATTTGGAAGCCTGAGCAGTGTCCTCAACATCCGCCATGAGGTTGTATCTCAAGGGTCCGGAGGGCATACGGCTTGGGCTTGAGTACCCCTAGAACCAAGAGTAACCTAGGAATAAAAGGGAACCCTTCTTGGTTTAAAGGGGCTTTATAACAGAAGCTAAACCGTAAAAGAAGCGAATCAGGTCCTTCTCTGGGTCCTAGCCCTCATCGACCCTTTACCCATGTCAAGCGGCTCTTCACTGTCGACGTAGATGGGCACATCCAGGCAAGACCCGCGCACACGAACGCAGAACTCCTGTTCACAGACTGCAGTGGATCAAGGGACTGAAGGAGGGACCCTGATAAGGTATATGCATATGTATGTATATATACATATATATATATATATAAGGGTTTTATAGGGGCATAAGATTGGGGGTCCCTTCTAGGGGTCCCTCCTTATATCGCTTAAGTGGAGTGATTCTGTGGCCGTCCATAACCCCATAACCTCAACCTCGTACGCGAGCCCCGAAAACCCTTAACCTAACAGAAACCAGTGATCCTGAACCCATATGAAGTAGGGTTTATATTTCTTGTACCCCCAAAAGGACACCCTCACCAATATTAAAAAAGGAACCTTCTATACACTCACCAATAACAGTAATATAAGCCCTACTTCATATACAGGTTTCCGAGACCTTCCAACTTTATTTCCCTTCGTGGGAGGGAGAACCAAAACTTCCTGTTACCCAGGGAGGCGAGCACCTGATCAGCTCCCCTTCGAACTCCCTTTGGCCCGGGCTTTTTTTGGGGGTTCAGGGTTTAGGTTGGAGGTTGCGAACCCCAAACCCCAAACCCTAAACCCTAGTCACGGGCCTACTGAGAGGTTCATGGTACTTATTAACCAATCATAACTGTAGCTATAACCTTTTTAGGGCACTTGAGGGGCTTATACGTGGGGTTATAAGTACAGTTGTATTTGGTTAAGAAGTACCATGAACCTCCAAGTACTGAGACTGGGACTTTGGGGCCTTCGAGTTTTGGGTGCTTCAGCGCTGCGTGGGAGGGGACCCCTCTTATGATACAAACTATGGGTTTAGGGTCAGGGGTTTAGGTTTTTAGGGTCTAGGGTTTAGGGTTTAGGGTTTAGGGTTTAGGGTTTTGTACATATAGCCCAAGGCTAGGACACGACTTACAGCTACGGGGCCCTCGCAACCCCAAACCCCCAAAGGTAAGTCTCTGAACCCCCAAAACCCTGAACCCACTGATAAAAAGAGCAGTCAGAGGAACCAGCTGTCAATGCTAGATGTGCATCTTTGTCATTGCTATACTGCTCGTGCAAAACAAAGACTAAACTGAGAAACCCTTCCTAAACCCTAACCCTAAACCCTAAACCCTAAACCCTTCAGGGACAAGGCTTTCCATCTGAAGCGCCTTCTCGTAGTTCGCATCGCCTGGGACGCTGTAGCAGATCAGGCAGAGGGCGCTTTGAATTTGAGATGTCTACTTGGATATGAAGATCTATTGGGCTTAGAGTAAGATCCATAGGGCTTAGAGTTCAGGCGTACGGGAGCGGGTGTAATTTGGGGGTTTAGGGAAGTAGGATGTATCTGGTTTGGGCTTTGTAAAGGGTTTGGGCATCTAAGTTGAAGTTCCTACAAAACGAACGGCAAAGATCGCCCCAGCCCTCACTTTTCCGCATTGCTTCAAGCGTTGAGGGTTCAGGGCCTCGAGACAACCCAAGAATTTGGACTCTGATGTAGGGTTAGGGTTTAGCTCTCTCAAGCCGTTTAGGCTAGAAGTACCAACCTAAGCAGCTATGGTTAGCGGAATAAAGGCAAACCCTAAACCCCAAAGCCCTGGATCCCTTAACTCGAAACCTTCAACCTCACTCTCTGTAGGGGGCTCGCCCTAAACCCTAAACCCTAAACCCTAGACCCTAAACCCTAAACCCTAAACCCTAAACCCTCTCTTGCCTCAGATAGCGCAGACCGGAACTGGAGTTCGGGGCTGCATGGTTCAGGGCTTAGGGCTTAGGGAAGTTCAGGTTTCACGGATTTTAGAGTTTCCTGACTAATTTTTCTGGGGAGGCAATGGTGCTAACCTTTCTGCACTAGGGGATTGCTTTGTCGACTCAAGTGCGGGAAGAAGACAGTTCATTCACAAAAACCGTTGAGACCGTTGGGACATTGCGATTTACGACGCCCTAAGCCCTGAAGCCTAAATCCATCGAATGTAAGCCCTAAACCCTCATCCCAAAACCCGAACCATCAACCTCTTACCCTACAACACCTGCCGGTGCCGAGAAGCCAGGAGCACCGTTTGCAATGCAAAGCCGCCTTGGCCACATCAAGGCTTGCAGGGCTTCGGGTGCAGGCTTGGAGGTCAGGGCTCGTTTCTAGATGGGCCCTGTGTAAACCCTCTGAAAGACATATATATATATATACATATATATGTGATCCTCTTGAACCCGAAAAGGGAGCTAACCCTACACTCCAAACGATAAACCCTAAACCCGAATTCGAGCATCTCAGGCTTGTGATCTGTGGCCTCCACAAGCTTTTGAGGCCGCCTTTCTTTGATCTAGGTTCTCCAGATACCCGTTCCAAGGTCAGCTTTCTTTGGTCTAGGTTCTCCAGGCTAGAAAAAAACAGAGCGCTTGTGTTAAAGGAAGCCTAACATTTCAGGAAACCTATATGGGTGTTTACCAAAATAAGGGCCCCTAAACAAGAATCCAAATAGTAGGATGCCCTTCAATAAGGTACCCCTAATACCGTGAACCCCCATAACACACACGAAGAAAGATGGAATATCAGCAGACCAAGGGCCCCGCAACCCTGAACCCAAAAGCGAGTCAGTGGCAATCTTCTCTTTAACAGGCTCTAGACTTTAAACCCTAAAGCCTACCTAGACTCTAAGCCCTAAGCCCGAAACCAAATTTCCAGCATCCCAGGACTGGGAGCATCTTCCGACGCCGTGTGAAGCTTGGGCTTAGGGTTTCAGGGTTAGTTTAGGGCCTTGCCAGGGAGCGTCGTACCGTTCTTCGTCGGCACCAGCGCTTCCTCTTCCTCTTGGGTCTCTTCTGAACCCTCCATGGCCCCCGGTCTCCGAGGCGCCTCTCTTTCGATGAGGTGTCCTCGAGGCTTCTCGTCCTTCCTGCGTCGCATCTTTTGCCGCACGCAGGGCTGCAAGCAGTTTGTCGGCCTGAGCTGCCATCTGCTCCCGCTTCGCTGTCCGGGTTGCCAACTGCTTGCTTTCGTCTTCTACAGGGAGGGGCCCCCTAATTATAAGTAGACTTATAAGAGCCCTAGAATTGGGTTCTAAGGATCCTAACTTAGGTTATAAGTCCCTTAAGCTATAGTTACTACAGTAAGGGGGGGGCCCCTCCTTGTATCGTCTCCACGACCATGGCCTCGGATGCATCCACTGCTTCCTTCGACTCCTGGTCGATGACTGAATCCTTGACATTGGGTATAGGGTATAGGGTTTAGGGTTTAGGGTTTAGGGTTTAGGGTTTAGGGTTTAGGAGCAGACTGGTTGCTTCGCGGAGTTTCTGCTGCCACTGATCCTCCGAGGCATCCAGATCCGTCAGAACCTTGAGTTCGTTCCTGCAACTGTCTCTCCACCAAGGCCAGCAAATCGTTCTCATGTAAGCTGTCCAGCCGTATAAACCCTGTTAAACCCTGAACCCTTAAGTCGAAGTCTGAAGTCTAAGCCTGAACCCTCCAGAAGTGTTGACCAGTTTAATCAACCACTGGGATATAAGGTGACTACTCCACCTTACATGACGCCACGGGGTGTTGGAAGCATGTGCTGCTCGCTTGCATGCCGCGCCGACGCGCCGACGCGCCGTGCATGTCTTTCTGACGCTTTCTTCAGCAAAGTGTGGGCAGCACATGGCAGATGCAAATGCCCTAACCCTAGACCCTAGACCCTAGACCCTAAACCCTAAACCCTAACCCCTAAACCCTGTTCCCCAAGGTGAAGGCGGCGTCTTCTTCTACACCATTGTGATGGGGTTCGGAATTGCAAGATGCGCTCTCAAGGATTAGGGTTTTGGGTGTTGGGATTCGGGTTTAGGGTTCAGGGTCAAGTTTAGGGTTTAGGGTTTAGGGTTTAGGGTTTAGGGTTTAGGGTTTAGGGTTTAGGGTTTAGGCCTGGCTTCAAGGTTTTGGAGCTTCAAAATAGGGGAGTGGGGTATACGTGGGACTTTGCAGGGAAAGCCGCCTGAACTCCATATTTGTGCTGCCGAGAGGCAGGTCAGTCGAAAACTCCTGGGTTTCGGGCGGGAGCTTCCACAAAAAAGCTTTGGGCTGAAAGGGCACTGTACCCCTAAGCCCTGAACACTACCAAGGATGATGGCCCGAAAACCCCCTGAAAAGTTCCTGAATATTATCCTCTTAAACCCAAGACGCGCAAATGTACCATATCCCAGCAATCCTAAACCCTAAACAACAAATCCCGAAGCACCCAGACCTCTAAAACCTGAAACCCCGGTTCATGACATGTCATTGGCTTCGGGGTCGGGTTGCGGTGCCAAAAATCAGAAAGCAACCCGATTTCAGGGTTGATAGGGTTTAGGGTTTAGGGTTTAGTGGGTTTGCAGGTTTATGGGGTTTGTAAGGTTCAGGGTTTAAAGGGCTAAGGGCTGAAGTGTAGCCGTACAGGGTTACTGGGTTTGTGGGGCCCAGGGCTTGCAGGGTTTAGGGGTTTAGGGTTTAGGGTTTAGGGTTTGGGTGTAGGGGTACAGGGCTTTAGGGCTTCGGGTTTAGGGGTACAGGGTCTTAGGGTTTCGAGGCGCAGGGCTGAGGTCTAGTAATGCAGGGCTTAGGGCAGTTTGGCGTGCAGAGTTGAGGGGTACAGGGTTGAGGGTGTACTAAACCCTAAACCCTAAACCCTAAACCCCAAACCCTAAACCCTAAGGGTCCATGTACCTTATCATTATATACTTGGGCCCCGAAGTCCATATATAAAAAGTACTTCAAGGCCCAAGTATTCCCTATTTGGCTACATGGACCCTTCGGGGAATGTAGGGGTTAGGGTTTAGGGTTAGGGCTTAATGTCTCGGGAATGACACGGCAGAAGATCAAGAGCTGCTTCGAGCTAGGGTTCTGGCCCTGGCTCATAAGGACACGAGTTCAGGGTTTAGGGCTTAGGGCTGAGGGTTTAGGGTTTAGGGCAGGCGTAACCCCAAAACCCGACACATTCCGCCCCAGGCCCTGAACCACATTGTAAATGCAAGTAGGCAACCCAGCTAAGGGAATTAGGGTTTCGGCATGTGGGATCATTCTGCTCCGTGGGCTCTTGAATGGCATAGCTCAGTTGCAAGACTGTCGCCCGGGGCTAAGCCCTACACCCTAAACCCTAAAACCTAAACCCTAAGCCCTACACAGTACCTCTGCTGGCAGGCTGCCCCCAGCGTCGTGGGCACGAACTTGAAGGCAATTTTTGAGCTGCCCAGAGCTTTGCAGACGCCCTTCTCCGTCCAAGTCGTCCTGAGACAAGCACTCTCCTAGAACTCTGGGGCTTTGATGGCTTATGGTTTTTTGAGGATTGTGAGGAAAGACTCGGGATGAAGGTGTATGTGTGTATACGTAAAAACATATCTGCGAAAAAAGAAGAATATGTAAATATATATATATATATATGTATGTATACTTATGTGTATATATGTATATATACATACCAAACAAGGTTTGGGGTGTAGGGTTTGTGCATAGAAACGAACGAAACGGCATGCAGTTCGGTCTATTTCTTTGACAGGCCTGTTTCCCTACAAGGTGACTAGGGCCTAGGGAAACCTGGGGTGTAGGGAAAGCCTTTGAGGGATTCTCCTGTTTCATGGGCTCACTACGTTGTGGCGCTCTGATGAGTGCACTATGAGGCGTTGCGCACGTAGGTTGTTCTATACTCAGGTGTCCCCTAAACCTTGCTAAACCTCCCTAAACCTCCCCAAACCCTCAACCCTAAACCCTCAACCCTAATCAGCCATACCACACCCAAAACCCTGAACTGAGAACGAAACTTCCCGAAGCCCTACGTCCGAGCAGGATGTACGACTGCTGCTGGGACTCATGTCTGTCAGCTGATCGACACCTTCATCGCCTTGGCAGTTGTTGTCAGCTCAAGTCTTGCGGCTGCAGGTCCAAACCCTAAACCCTAACCCCTAAACCCTAAACCCTAAACCCTAAACTTTAGGGTTTAGGAGAAAGGTTGTGGCTGGGGGCTTTGTAGCTTGTGTAATAAAGGGTTTTCCATCCCAGCTATGGATTGTGGGTTTAGGGCTTAGGGCTTAGGGTTTAGGGTGTATGGGCCTTGTACAACCTGTGACAGACAGAGGGGTGTGCCTGCGCGTCATAGGGAGCGGGGGCCTGCTTGGTTGGCTTGAATGTACACCTAAGGAGTACAGATAGGCCGCATCCAGCATCCCCCCTACTTGAAGCCTCGCGTTGGGAACAGCCGAAGTCTAGACACCTCCCTTATAGGATTTTAGGGTTCAGTTTGGGGACGTAGAGCCTAAAAGTTTCACATACATCAAGCACTTGAGACACAACGCAGGGCCCCCTAAAAGCCCTAAAACATGAAAGCTACATCTCCAGCTTTTGTTAGGGGGGCCTCGGGGATCTCGAAAGCCCCCGAAAAACGTGGGTTTAGGATTTAGGGCACCTAGGTTCCTCGGTACCCCAGGCGGTGACGTACTGGGTATAGGGTTCAGGGTTTAGGGCGGGGGTTGGTCATCTTCGGAACAGGGTTTAGGGTTTAGGGTTTAGGGTTTAGGGTTTAGGGTTTAGGGTTTAGGGTTTAGGGTTTAGGGTTTAGGGTTTAGGGTTTAGGGTTTAGGGTTTAGGGTTTAGGGAGGAACCCTGAACCCCAAACCGTAAACCCTAGTTGTGGGGTTTCAGGGTGTGGGGTTGTGGGTTCGCCAAATACTGATGCTACGCTGCTTACGTCTCACTCCCGTGTCTATGGTAGCAAGCCTTAAAAGCCCTAAAGCAAGTGATCCTGTTTAAACGTTAAACCCCAAACCCTCAACCCTCAACCCTCAACTCTGAACCCTGAACCCTGAACCCTAAACCCTAAACTAAACCCTAAGCCCTAAGCCCTAGGCCCTACGCCCTAAACCCTAAGCCATATAAGCCCTATAAGCCCTATAAGCCCTATAAGCCCTATATGCCCCATAAGCCCTATAAGCCCTATAAGCCCTAGAAACCCTAGAAGCCCTGTAAGCCCTATAAGCCCTATAAGCCCTATGCCCTAAACTCCCAATCCCTAAGCCCCAAGCCCTTTCGACCCTAAACTCCAAAGCCAGCCAAGCAGCTGCGAAGCACACTGAAGTCGGCTGCCAAGGCCCCGGTGTTCTTGATGATGAGCTCCTGCAGTTTTCTTGCTTAGGGGTTTAGGGATTTAGGGGTTTAGGGGTTTAGGGTTTAGGGGTTAGGGGCTTCGGGTTTAGGGGTTTAGGGGCTTAGGGGTTAGGGGTTTGGGGGTTTAGGGGTTGGGGGTGCTTTAGGGTTAGGATGTATGGTTTAGGGATTAGGGTTTAGGGTTTGGGGAGGCAGAAGGTTGAGCTTAATAATGTGCCGACAAGGGGAAGGCATATGTGCTGGCTGGTGGATGCCGCCTGCAACATCGGCGATGGACCCTTTGGCGTTGTTTGGGACTGGGAAGGTGTTGTACAGGATGACTCGGTTCCGCAGGCCGGGTTTAGGCAGGATTCAGGGTCTGGGTTTAGGGTATTTTTCTGAATAACCCTACAAGGTGCGTAGGGTCTCCGGTTTAGCTTAGGGTTGGAGTGTATGTTGGGGTCGCTGGTGCCCACTCCACCTGGTCAAACGTGGATTTGCAAATCGGTTGCCAGAAAGCGACCAAGAGCGGCGTCACGCGTGGCAAAACCATACACAATGAGTGCAAGTTGGAGAAGCCTGAAGGCGTCGCGTGTGCTGCAGGCTGAGAAGCTTGAGGCTGACACCTGCACGATGTCCGCCACCAAATTGATAACCCCCCTGCAAGGTGACGACACGCTTGCATCTCTGGTACGTAGGCCCTAAACCCTAAACCCTAAACCCTAAATCTATAGAGCTTGACGAGGGCACCGAAAAAGCGGGGGCCACAACCGGAGCCGTCGCCTCAGGGCTAAACCCAAACCCTAAACCCTGAACATCCCTAAACCCTTAACCCTAAACCCTAAACCCCAAACCCTAAACCCTAAACAGAAGGGCTTGGGGTTTCAGGGTCTACTAGACGCGAGGCACTTCAAAAAGACATGGGTGTTTAGGGTGTACGGCTGAAAGTTTGGAGAAGTTCGGTGAAGGCCATGTGTTTCAAAAGAGGCTATCCTTTGCGCAAGCCGCCGAAAGCAGGTTTGGATCTAAATGACGGACTCTTTTGGGACCTCTATCATACTATAGTTGCTACAGATCACACAATAGTCTAGTTTAGGGCACCCGAAAAAGTTTAAAGGGACCACCATGGCCCTAAACCCTAAGACCCCTATAAACCCCAAACCCAAAAACCCTAATTAAACCCTCAACCCTGACCCTAAAACCCGGTTTAGGGTTTAGGGCTTAGGGTTTAGGGGTTAGGGGCCCAAGCTCCAGACCCAAACACCCTGCAAAAGCAGTCAGGTCTGAGTTCCCAGCACGCTCGGCGGACTCCCCGACGAGAACAGAGCCGAAATCCACGCTGGGATTGGCCTCCGCGTCCTGGCGACAGATGGTTTTTGGGGTGTAGGGTTTAGGGGTGGTGCTGCTCCTTCGGGTTCAGGGTTCCAGGGTTCACGGTTTAAGGGTTAGGGTTTAGGGCTTAGGGCTTAGGGGAGTTCAGGTGCAGGTGCTTGGGGTGGTTGGTAAACAAGTGCAGCGATGGAGCAGCTGTGGCATTCAACCCTCAACCCAAGCCCTAAACCCGACAACCCTTCTTAGGGTAGTTACATGGCGCCTGTATATGGGCCTTTAAAAAGGGGACCCTTTACATACCCCGTATATACCCTATAAAACCCAAGGGCCCACTCTTCAGAACCCTTTAAAGGAGGTAGGGGACCATGCTAAGGAAACCTAGCCCTAAACCCTACACTTTCCTAAATCCTCCCTTGCCGAAACCTTTAAAGGAGGTAAAGGGCCAAAACAAGGAACCTGATCCCTAAACCTAGACCCTAAACCCTCCCTTTAAGAACCCTTTGCGGGAGGTAAAGGACCATATTCATTAACCTACCTTTGGAGTAGACCCTGGAAAAAAAGTATATACTTTTTAGGTATAAGTAGCTATAATAGGAACCCAGAACCCAAAAAAAGTATTAAAGTACAGTACTCCAAAACCAGTTAAGGAGCCTCAAGGCCCCTAAGTTCGATTCTCCCTCAATCCCAGCCATTAGTGGGTTTAGGGGTTAGGGTACTGGGTTGCCCCCCCCCCCCCCTTTCTCCAACGGGCCTACCCAGAATAGGGCTTAGGGCTTAGGGTTCCCTAAACCCAAACCCTAAACCCTAAACCCTAAACCCTAAACCCTATGAGGGTCTCTTTTGTGCAACGTGGCGAATTATCGCTGAAGGCAGCCGACAGGCTTTGGTCGGAACATGTCGGAATCTTCTTAGGGGTTTAGGGTTTAGGGTTTAGGGTTTAGGGTTTAGGGTTTAGGGTTTAGGGTTTAGGGTTTAGGGTTTAGGGTTTAGGGCTTAGGGTAAGATGGTTTGGGGTTTCAGGGTTAAGGGCTTGACGGTTTTGGGGTTTGAGGGCTTGGACTTTTAGGGCTTGCGGCTTTTGAGCTCCGGTACTGTGCACACCTGACCTACGCCCGGGACGCCGTTGTTGAAAGCAGCGGCTGCCAGCAGGAGGTACATGATGTCCTTAGTTGCTGAGTATGGTTTAGGGTTTAGGGTTTAGGGTTTAGGTTTAGGGTTTAGGGTTTAGGTTTAGGGTTTAGGGTTTGGTTTAGGGTTTAGGGTGTACACTTTCAGTTCTATAGGGGATTATAGAATCCCAAAACGTCTAAAGTGTACTCACTGAGCTACGAAGTGTCAGCATTGCCAAGCAGCCGGCCACTACAGGCCTGGTTGGCGCGACACCAGCTGGGCCTGGGTCAGGGGTATAAGGCTGAGGGGTATCGGACCGCCTTGCTGATGAGAATCGTACATGAAGGAAAAGGCAGGCTTCCGCCGCGTCGACATGCCACGGTTTCGTCTCTGCTGTGGTAACTTAAAAGGGTTCAGACTTGGGGCTACTCTACACCCTGAATTTGGTTCATGTCCCCTTTTAGAAGGGGCACCCCTTTCCTGAGGAAGCCCTACTATGAAAGGAATCAAGGGGTCCGTGATCTAAAACTGGCTGTACGGCCGCAGGTCTGCAGTTTAGGGGGTTTAGGGGTTTAACCCTAAACCCTAAACCCTAAACCCGGCTTCTGGCCTCCTGCGGATGGCATCTGTCTCCCCCCAGCCGCCTCCCGCAGCAGGCGTGCGACTTCGTCATGGCCATGAACAGATGCCAGCTTCAGCGCGGCCGCAGTGAAATCATAGGGGAAGTCCTTGATCGAGCCGGACGCCAGCCTGGGTAGCCCAGTAACCGTATCAAAAGAAGGGCAAGCTGTTGTGGGTTCTTTACTTTCTAAGGGAACCTTGAACCAAAAAAGGGGAAAGGGCACCACTGGGGTAAACCCTAAACCCTAAACCCTAAACCCTAAACCCTAAACCCTAAACCCTAAACCCTAAACCCTAAACCCTAAAACCCTAAACCCTGAACCCTAAAACCCAAGCCCTAAAAAAGGAAAAGGGGGAAATATGGCACCACTGGGCCACCAAGCAGCAAGAGGCGTACGACTTCAACACGGCCTTCGCGGGCGGCTGCCAGGAGGGAAGTTTTGCAGGCGCGCTCTTTGTCGGTGCCTCGGATGTCCCCGAAAACCCTCTGAAGGGTTTAGGGTTTAGGGTTTGGGATTTGGGGTTTAGGGAAAGTAAAAAATGTCCCAAGGGACTACCTAGGCGCAGCCCTCCAGCAGCAAGGACAGGACTTCTGCATGTCCTGCACAAGATGCCGCCAGGAGAGCTTGCCTGGGTGGTTCTTAAGCTCGGCACCCTAAGGTCCATGTGCCTTATTCTTGTATACTTGGGCCCCAAAGTCCTTAAAGTTATGTAGGAGCCCAAGTATTCCCTCTTTAAGGTATGTGGGCCCTTTAGGGTAAATTGAGTTACCATCACGCGGAGATATACTGAGTTACACGGACGCCGTGCTATGGTAGCATGATGAAAGTCCCTTCCTTGGAGCGTATGAACCTTAAACTGGGGTCATGTACCCTATACTCCCATGTACCCTCTACTCCTATAAAGGCATATGAACCATAAACCTGGTCCACAAGGTTACCCCCAAATACGAAACCCTTAACCCTAAACCACCTTAAACCCAAACCCTAAACCCTAATGTAAACCCAAAACCCTAAACCCTACACCTAAACCCTAAACCCGAAGCCTAAGCCCTAAACCCTACAACAGCAACCTAGGTGCGCGCAGTTGTCTTCTCTGTCAACTCCTGCTCTGAGAAGCAAGCGCACGACATCGACGTGTCCCCAGCCCGCTGCCAACATCACAGCTTTCACGCCATCTTCACCTTACTTACCCTAAACCCTAAACCCTAAACCCTAAACCCTAAACCCTAAACCCTAAACCCTAAACCCTAAACCCTAAACCCTAAACCCAAAACCCTAAACCCCAACCCCTAAACCCTAGAAACCCTAAACTCTACAGATCCTAAACCCTAAGCCCTAAAACTTAGCACGCCTGTGTAGTATCTTCTAGAAAACCGATTCTAATCCCCATAACCCAGCTTACCGATCGAGACCCCCGAAGGCGTCCTATCTCAGCCACAAGTAAAGGCTAAATGTTATCCATATTGCGGTAACCCTAAACCCTAAACCCTAGACCCTAAACCTCACGGATAGCAAGTAGGGAATTCATTAGAGAACATCATTGGTTTCCTGGTCACCGAGTTCCTTGTCCGCGCGGGCCTCCAGGAGCAAGCTCACGACTTCCGTATGGCCTCAGGGTTTAGGGTTTTCATGTAGGGTTCAGGGTTTAGGGTTTAGGGTTTAGGGTTTAGGGTTTAGGGTTTAGGGTTTAGGGTTTAGGGTTTAGGGTTTAGGGTTTAGGGTTTAGGGTTTAGGGTAGTGTGGCCTCGGCCCGATGCCATTAGCAGGGCCGTTGTGCCGTCGCTGCTGACCAGGTCCTTGTTGGAACCGGCCTCCAGCAGTAAGCGGATGATCTCGGCAGAGCCGAGGTAAGATGCAGTCATCCTTAGGTGCTGCGTTCCCTTGGGGCAAACAAGGTTAACCTTTGGGTTTTTTTAAGGGGTTTTCTACTACCCCAAAAGGATAAAGGTTACCCACTCAGCAACCCTAAACCCTAAACCCTAAACCCTAAACCCTAAACCCTAAACCTAAGCGTCAATGCGGTGGTGCCGTCCCTGCTGGCCGCGTTGCTGTCGGCGTTCGCTTCGAGCAGCAGCCGCACGACCTCCACGCGGCCGTGCAAAGATGCCACAGCCAGGGGCACGTCGCCCTTCGTGCCTAGAGCCAAGTTTAGGGTTTAATTAGGGCTTAGGGTTTAGGGTTTAGGGTTTAGGTTTAGGGTTTAGGGTTTAGGGTTTAGGGCTACTAGACCCAGGAGTAACCTGGGAACAAGAAGCAGGTACCCTTTTTGGTTCTGAGGGGAATATATAAGGGAACACCCCTAAACCCTAAACCCTAAACCCTAAAAAAAGGGAAATAGGGCCCTACTCCGGGTCCTAGGTGCTTGCCAAGTTGGGATCCTGGGGAAGACGGAGCATCGATTCGACTTCCGCCACCCAGCCCATGTGGGCGGCTACTGTGAGCCTAGGCCCAGGGTTTAGGGTTTAGGGTTTAGGGTTTAGGGTTTAGGGTTTAGGGTTTAGGGCTACGAGGCCCAGGAGTAGCCTAGGAATAAAAGGGCGCCCTTGTTGGTTGAAAAAAAGGTGTTTATAAGGGAACCTGAACCCCAAAAAAAGGGAATAAGGGCCTACTCCGGGTCCTAGGAGCTGGTCCGCCTGGGCCTGGGAAGCATTGCAGAACGTAAGCAGGACGAGCTCCAGGTCCATGAAAGGGTCCAGCTTCGTAGAGTCATCCAGCTCTTCTCCTTGACAAAACCTTAGTAGCCCAGCAACCAGATCATAGTAAGGGCACCCTTGTTGGGTTGCTTACTTTGCAAGGGAACCTTGTTCCAAAAAAAAGGGTGCCACTGGGCTACCAAGAAACAGCCTTTGCCTGAATCGGGGTGGCAGGCCATGGAACTGATTCAAGTGCTGCTTCAACGACCGCACGTCGCTGTAGTCCTCTGCAGACACGCTGGTCAGCTCCTCCCCCGAGAGCATCTTGACACGAAGCATCGGCTGAGGGCGCGCAGGGATGCCTGCGAGATTGCTTGGCCAGTGGAAGCCTCACGGTAGTCTGCAATGCGACTCGAATCGGAAGTCTGGCCATGTGGCACCGGATTCTTGTGAGTGATTCCTTTGAAGATTGCGGGGGGGTAAGCTGGCATGAGGCTGGGGGTTCGACAGGCATGTCCGTGGCTCCTATACTACCACTGTGGACAGCGAATGCACCCATGATGATGAGGAGCCTCCCTCAAGCCTCAACTTAAACCCTAAGCCCATAAACCCTAAACCCTAAACCCGAGGCATTAGTAGAACGGAGTTGCTAAACTGGACATCGGCTACAAGAGTGGTCTGTAGTAGTGCTTGGTCCGATAGTCCTACGTGACAGTAACAGAGGTTGGGGTGTAGGGCTTAGGGTTTAGGGTTTAGGGTTTAGGGTTTAGGGTTTAGGGTTATGACTCTCAGATTTTCGTGTGTTCGGAGTGTGTGCAGAAGCGCAGCACCAAGCTGGCAAGCAAAAACACGTGCCCGCGGCGACGCTGTCAGACTCTGCTAGGCAACTGCCCCATGCGAGGTTACCTTAAACTTTAAGCCCTAAATCTCAACCCTCAACCCTAAAACCTATATGGAACCCTACACTGGAAGCCATGAACACTCTTCTTAGGCATTGGGGTTAGGGTTCAGGGCTTAAACCCTGAACGCCGAAACCTTGCTCCGCGTCCCCTCTCGTCGGAAGTGACTCAGCGGTGCTATGCACAATTTCTCGAGGTCAAGCTGGTTCGAGGAATTTGAAGGTCGAGCTGTTGCTGTTGCTGCCCTAAACCTTAAACCCTAAACCCTAAGCCCTAAACCCTAAACCCATGTTGCTGTGGATACTCCTGGGGTTGCATGGTGTGTAGAGCTCAGCAACAATTCGTTAGGATCGAGATGCGAGGGTCAACAAGCACCGTTGTCTTTAAGGCCTCGATTTAAATTGGAATTGGTTTCCCTCCTCTAAGTCTAAACCCCCAACAACCCTCAAGCACTCTCATCGCACGAGCCCTAGACCCCAGAATCCTAGAGCCCTGAAGTACCGAAAGCCCTGAAGCGACGCAAAACCCAAAACCCAAAACCCTAAACCCTAAACCCTAAACCCTAAACCCTAAACCCTAAACCCTAAACTCGAAACCCTGAAATTGAGCCCCACATCCCAGAGTCCATAAGTTAAGACCGCAAGCCCTACACCCCTGCACTTAAACCCTCACATGTCTGAACCCCTAACCTGAACGAAAACCCTAAACCCTAAACCCTAAACCCTAAACCCTAAACCCTAAACCCGAAACCCGAAACCCTCCAACCCGTCTAATAGGATCCTACTGGGAACCCCAGACAGGGAACCCCAAAGAATATAGTAGGAATAGGAAGGGCATACGAGGACCCTGGCAAGTAGATTTCTATCATTCCTACTATATTCTTGGGATTCCTTCTTTGGGGTTCCCATTTTCAGCCCCTGTACGCCCCCTAAACCCTAAACCCTAAACCCTAAACCCTAAACCCTAAACCCTAGAACCCTAGAACCCCAAAAAAACCCGAAACGCCAACCTGCGGTGTGATCGTGAGGATCGTCTTCTTTGTTGTGCACCGTAGTGGGAAATCGATGCGGCCTGCACAACTTGCTGGCTCTTAGTAGGGAAGGAGGGAAGGAAGTACCCAAAATCCCCCTACATATATACATATATATTTATTTATAGAGGGAAGCTCTTCTGACCTAGTAAGTAGGGTTAGTCAGGTGGGTTATGGGGAAATACAAAAGGGCTTCTAGAGGATACTAAGTAGACTTACTAAGTCGAAAGAGCGCACAAGTAAGGGATTATGTCCTAAGTAGCCTCTAAATAACCCCCAAGGTCCCTCCCTATATCCCCCTTTGTCCCCCTGTATCTTCCTGTAAGGGTTTATGTAGGGTAACCAAGATCCCAATTCCCTACTAAGAACTGGGGACAATTTCGCGGCGGGCACGGCAGCCCACTCCCTCCACCTCAAAGCCCTCAACCTTATGCCTTGCAGCTCTGAAGCCCTCAATTCTAAACCCTAAACCCTAAACCCTAACCCCTAAGCCCTAAGCCCTAAACCCTAAAACTAACCTGCCCCCCAAAACCCTACACCCTAAATGAGTAACTCTGGATTCTAAAGCCTATAACACCCTTAGCCCCTATTGCATTATTTTGTCGAATATTGTCGGCCGGCGGCCAAGGTCCATAAATTAAACACGGCCTCTTTGGGCTTGCTGTATTGTCCCGTTTGGGGTACACACTTACAAACCAAGGACCATAAATCTAGGCTGGCCCTGAAAACCCTGTGAATAGGGTTTAGGGTTTAGGGTTTAGGGCCTAAAGTTTAGGGTTTAGGGACATATGACGATCTTAAACCCAATAAGAGAAAACATACAATATCCCAAGGACCTATTCAGAAATGTCATTGGGGGCCATCTTACTGTCGCAGGATCTTTGTGTGCGCGCAAAGAGGCACCCCGCGCCCATCCACCCCTTCCAACCGTACTTTGCTGTTTCTTTCCTGAGATTTAGATACTTGGCAGCCCAGTAACCATACTACAATTGCGGCACCCTTTTTGGGTCGGTTACTTTATAAGGGAACCTAGAACCCAACAGAAGGGAACAGGGTTTAGGGTTTGGGGTTTAGGGAAGAGGGCACCACTGGGCTACCAAGGATCAGAAGTTTTACGCACAAATCCTAAGCAAACTGTAGAAAAGGGAGGCCCCAAAACCTTCGCAACCCTAGACCCTAAACCCCCTAAACCCCCTAAACCCCCTAAACCCCCTAAACCCCCTAAACCCCCTAAACCCCCTAAACCCCCTAAACCCCCTAAACCCTAAACCCCAAACCCTAAACCCTAAACCCTAAACCCTAAACCCTACTTCGGAAAGCTGATGCACGGCAGGGTTTTCATTGCTAGCCTCCCCCAAAGCATATAGACTCATCGATGTTGAGAAGGGAACCCTGGCTTCCTAGCCCTAAACCCTAAACCCTAAACCGAGGAATCTGGTAACCCTAAACCCTAAACCCTAAACCCTAAACCCTAAACCCGACATGACTGAATGGGCCTGTCTTGGCAAGGATTGGGAAGGTGGAGACAATGTCTTGGCTCACCTTCGGCACGAACCAAAGCGTGATGTACCTGGGCAGCTTCAGAAAGGGTTTAGGGTTTAGGGTTTAGGGTATAGGGTTTAGGGTTTGGGGTTTGGGGTTTGGGGTTTGGGGTTTGAGGTTTAGGGTACAGGCACCATAGGGCTTCAGCGTTTAGGAGTGTCGTGTAAAGGTTACTTGGAGGAGCGGTTGACTTAGCTAGTTGCAAGGTAGGAGTAGTCAGTGTCCTCAAAAGGACCCCATTCGGAGAATCCTACTTTCTATATACCCTTACTGAATACCTACTGTCAAATTCTCCGATCCTGCTTAAGATGAAGGGCTTCCGGTTTCGAGTTTAGTCTTCTTTTTTTCGGGGGGAGAACCCCAGGCCTTTTTGTCCGACGGCCGATGAAAGGTTTAGGAGATTGGGTTTCGGGTTCAATGAGCTGAGAAGACAGTGCTTTGAATGTAAAGGGAACTGTATCGGAAGCAGTAGGTATGTTTGCCTTGTAATACACGTAGGGGAGGCTTGATATACTAGCTGGACGTGAGGAAGCCATAGCCATAGCCGGAATATAACCCTAAGGGTCCATGTACCTTATTATTATATACTTGGGCCCCGAAGTCCATATATAAGAAGTGCTTTAAGGCCCAAGTATTCCCTATTTGGCTACAGGGACCCTTAAGGTAAATTAAGTTGCTCATGACCCAGCTTAGGGCGCTTATAACTCTTCTTCTATCTAGGCGCCATGCTGATGAGTGACAGGGCAGAGTGCATTGCCGCAGCACAACCTCGACCCTAACCTCCAACCCTAAACCCCTTTGGGGCATAAACAATTTTCCTGACCACCACCCCACCCACCCCCAAAATGGTCCAGGTCGCCTATATTTTTTTTGGGTGGGTGGGTGGTGGTGTGGAAAAACTGTTTAAGCCCCGAAGGGGCTTAAAAACTTTTCCACACCACCACCCACCCACCCAAAAAAAATATAGGCTAAAATCGGCACCCCCTGCCGGTAGCCCAAGCAGGACAGTCACGCGACGAGCCTAATCTGTCTGCTCGCCCTGCTCCGTCCTTCTTTGGGATTTCCGGGCCGCAGTACTTGCCAGCGCCCAAGCTGGCTCACCATTACGATCACCTGAAGTAGGACGAACCTTTCGAACAGGCGGTTTTAGCCCAAGGCCCTCTGCCGTGAAAAGGCAGGAGGTGCTGCTGAAGCTCTTTTCGGAGCTGGTGGTCGAGCTTGGTCGCCAAGCCCATCCCGTTGTGAGCCACTTGGCAAGACCAACCAAGGTGCCCACGTCTAAACTGATGTTTAATTTTGGTGGGGTGGGGGGCCTTCGGCCCCCCACCCCACCAAAATTAAACACCAATTTCTGCAAAGGCGACCTCTGCAAGGATTTTGGGTGAAAATCTGGGTGGGGTGGGGGCCTTCGGCCCCCCACCCCATCCAGATTTTCATCCAAAATCCTTGTAGAGGTAAAATCTCCGAAACTTTCAAAATGGAGCACATCGAAACTCTTGCCGAAACTTATCTTGAAGCGCTCAGGCAGTACCTGGGCGGAGGCAATCTGGAGGTTGGCCAATAATGAGAGCAGTCGTCAAGTAAGGAAACAAGCCTGCACTCGATCCCTACTAAACCCTAAACCCTATACCCTAAACCCTAAACCCTAAACTTCACAGGAGCGAGACACCTGGTCACACCGGCCGACATCCGCCCAGGAGGTACAAAGTTCACTTCGAAGAAATCTTTCCTGGGCATTTAGTTTTGGGCTTGTTGGGGGGGGGGGGGGGGGGGGGGGGGTTCCCTATACTAAGCCCTGGCCACCCGTAAATTTCCTTCTTAAAGCCTAAACCCTAAACCCTAAACCTAAACCCCAAACCCTAAACGCTAAACCCTAAACCCCAAACCCCAAACCCCAAGCCCTGGGGCTCCAAGTGGTCCAGGGTTTAGGGTTTAGGGTTGAGAGGCTTAGGGTTTAGGGGTTTTGGGGTGGCAGGGTTCTCCTCAGGGTCCATGTACCTACATAGTTGAAACCCTAAACCCTAAACCCTAAACCCTAAACCCTAAACCCTAAACCCTAAACCCTGAGATGTCGTGACATGGGGGCTCAAGCTTAGGTCGAGGCATGGCCCTCTCGGGCTCCCCCAAAATTTCAGAACCTACCTGAGGCCCTATTTACCTACGGCTGAGTAGCAAGTAGCCCTGTTTAGAAGGTATAGCCCTGCAAACTGTGGGTAAGAGAGGGGTCTCAGGTTGACTTGAATCACCAAAGCTTACGACCTTTAGGGTCCGGGGTTGACCTTGCGAGTTAGGGTTTAGGGTTTAGGGCTTAGGGTTTAGGGTTTAGGGTTTAGGGTATAGGGTTTAGGGTTTAGGGTTTAGGGTTTAGGGTTTAGGGTTTAGGGTTTAGGGATAGGGGTCTGGGCTTGCCTGCAGCACCGAATGTTTATCTTGTCGTCCTAGAGGCTATGCTGGTCGCGACTGAAAAGTTCATTCGAACGGCAAAACCTGAACCTCAAACCCTGAACCCGAATCTCTGACTTCCAGTACCTGAACCCTGCAATCCCGAACCCCCAAATCCAGATCTGACAGGACTGACCTGAATAATCATGCCAATTTAGAATAACAAGAGCATCCATAAAACAAAAAATATTATACATAATTAAACAAAAATAAATATAAATGTATGTATATATATATATAAACATTGTATAAACACCTTAAGCTAACAATATGCCGAACAGCAGTATATCTGCAATATATATATATATATATATACATACACACATATCTACCTGGGTGCTTTGGTTGACCAGAATACCTCTGTTGAGCCCACTCAGGCTTTCCCAGGTTGACCCTAAACCCCAAACCCTAAGTGTGGGGCAAACCCTAAACCCTAAACCCAGGGGCTGCTGGCGACTGAGCCAAGGGTCACGGAGTCATCTAGCGGCAGCAGCTTAAACCTGCGCGGATTTGGGACCAGCCCCCCAGTTTGGGGCTTGGGGTTTAGAATTGGGGTTTAGGGTTTAGGGTTTAGGGTTTAGGGTTTACGGTTTTTTTATATAACCACTTCTAATTTCATTTAATTTTAATGAATTAAGTCGTTGTAATTTTGCTTTATATATTGATGATATGTTTTTTGATATATATATATATATATTAAATGATTGATTTGGTGTTTTTATTGTATTATCATTATCATTAATTTTTGCTGATATATTATTATATTAAATCCATATTAATTGAGGATCTAATGTGAATGTATTAAAAAAAGAAATACAAACATTAGATGAGGATATTATAATTAATTTACATAAATCAAGTGACAAATATGTCCAATTAATGAGTACTAATATGGTTAAATTACAAAATGCATTAGCTAAATTAAATGAACATAATGATAATCATGCAGATGTAGCACAAATAAATATGGTTAATATTAATGAATGAAATAAAAAAAATATTGGATCTGTTGATCCAATGTCAACATTAATTGAACATTTAATTAATCATGATATATCACCAAATATTATATGTGGAACATCAAAAAAGGATAATGAAAGAACCTGTTTTAGTGCAATGATAGTAAGTAATAGTTTTAGGGTTCAGGGTTCAGGGTTTAGGGACCGTGTTGCGGGTGAATTGCGTGGACTGCCTTGAATCCCTGGCAAAGCCAGACCGGAATCTCGACGATGGTCGAGCGCCGAAGTCTGAGGTTTAGGGTCGGGCTGATACTCATATGGGTGGTTGTCGTCAAAATGATGGCGGGTTTTTGGATCCCTATTATGATACGGCGCCTCATATTTAGGGTACCCCAAAAAGGATCATAATTTTGACAGCCACCCATATACAACACCCTAAACTTGAGATGCTCCCCCTTATACTAGCAGTCCTTAGTAGGGATTGGAATAGGGGGTACTATAATCCCTATTAAGGACTGTTAGTCTAAGGGGAAACATCCCAACGGCGTTACACTGCGGAGGACCCTCCTGAAGGTTTAGGGTTTAGGGTTTAGGGATTAGGGTTGGAATTCTTACCCGGCGTTTGTCGTCTCGCTGCTTTGAACCGGAAGCTACATAAAGTGTGAGCACGTCAATAAGCCCTAAACCCTAAACCCTACACCAAAACGCCAAACCCTAAACCCTCCGGCTCCGGCAACAACCCCAGCAACTGCCCTGACTGTCTCATCGACCGAAGGAGTTTCACGCAAACCACAGCAAGAAAAGGTCCGATCCAAAAGCTGCTGTTCAGGGTTTAAAGTAGGCTTTAGGATTTGCTAATCCCTGCACTCCTGAACCCCAAAATTTCTACTATTTGCTTAAGAACCCCCAAAGAATAAACAGACAGTAGAACCCTAAATCCTACGCCCTAACCCCTGCACCCCTGAAAAATATTCGTCCTTATGAAGGGTAACATAGGGATTATTATTTCTATTGTTTTGGGATTCTTAAGCAAATAATAGCAAAACAGCTATAACAAAGGCACCCCTTGTTTCGTTGGCTACTTCATGAGGGAACCCAGAACCAAAAAAAAGGGTAGAGGGTACCACTGGGCTACCCTACACCCTAAACCCTAAACCCTCAACCCTAAACCCTAAACCCTAAGTCAGCCAAGCGGCTGGTTGAAGGTCAGGGACACGTTGGTCACCTCTGGCTTCGCGGGAGGGAAGCCTACTCTAGGGGGGCCTATAAGGTCGTGAATTAGACTAGGCTTGTTTGGTGGTTAGGGTTTAGGGCTTAGGGCTTAGGGCTTAGGGCTTAGGGCTTAGGGTTTAGGGTTTAGGGTTTAGGGTTTAGGGTTTAGGGTTTAGGGGTTAGGGTTCTAGACTAGGTTTATTTGGTGGTAAGGGTTTAACTCCACTACTCCAAGCTAAAACCTTAAAACCGCCCAGGAAAAACGTAGCACCAAAACCCTAAATCTAAGGGTAGTTACATGTTCCCTTAGTATGGGCCCTTCGAAGAGTACCCCTCATATGCCCCTCACATGCCGAATACAAATGAAGGGCCCATACATCAGAACCCTTTCAAGGAGGTTAGGCCATATGAAGGGCCCATGTAACTACCCTTTGAAACAACCTATAGCCAAAACCCTATAAACCCCAAAGCCCCGTAAACCCTAAACACCAAAAACACACCCAGGAGAAGCAAGCCCTCAACCCCCAGCCCTGTAAAGACGAGGCTGGAGCACTGGAAGTTTCATCGGAGCCCACAGGCAGGGCTGAGGGTTTTGGGTTTTCTAGTTCCTATGGCTTTGGGTGTTTAGGTTTGGGGTTTGGGGTTTAGGGTTTAGGGTTTAGGGTTGAGAGGTTGGAGGCCCTTGGGGGTATAGGGTTGTTAGCTAGGATGGCCCCTAAAACCCTCTTAAACATGTTGCTGAATATGGTCCCCTTAAACCCACTAAGGGAAAATAGGAAATGTCCCGAGGGCCAACCTAGCAAACGGCTAGGGGATAGGATTAGGGGGACCCTTGGGGATATAGACCCTCTCAATAAGGTCCCTGTTTGAGAGAGCCAGAAGAGGAAGCTATCCATTTGCACCGAGCTTGGCCCAAAGCCTCTCTTCTCGTTCTTGCCTAACTCCTTGGTGGCGAGCTTGACAGAAACCTGTCTCTTGGCATCGTCGACACTCTTGAACTTTTTTGAAAGCCTTCCGTCGGCCTCTCACGCATGCGCTTCTTGACAGACACAGCGCACTCCTCCAAGACATTTGCTTTGCAGAGTGCACGAAGCGAAGCTTGATCGTCTTCGCTGTACTTGCCCTCTTGGAACAGAATCTGCAACAAATCCTCAGACGCCTTCTTCATAGCGGCCTCGCGAAGCTCATCGGCCACTTGTTTGGGGGGGCCGTCTTGGAACTGTGCGGTTGAGAAGGGGGTCCCCGTACTCCTACCTAGCATGAACACCCTAAACCCCAAATACTAAACACTGGAGCCTATAAACCCTAAACCCTGAACTCTAAACCCACCAACTCATACGTAAGAATTACGGCCTACAAGGAGGGGCCCCCTTACTATAGTAACTATACTTAAGGGACTTATAACCTAAGTTCGGATCCTTATAACCCAATTTAGGGCTCTTATAACTCTACTTCTAGTTAGGGGGCCCCTCCCTGTAGGGCTTCGGGGCTTAGGGTCGAGTGTGTGTGTGTGTGTGTGTGTGTGTGTGTGTGTGTCTGGGTGTGTGTGTGTGTGTGTAGGGTGTGTAGGGTGTAGGATTCGCCACCCAGGCCTCGATGACTTGGCGGTAGCGCTTTCCCACCTGCGCGGTTTAGGGTTTAGGGTTTGGGGTTTAGGGTTTAGGGTTTAGGGTTTAGGGCTCAGGGTTGCTTTTGACTTTATGTGTTTCTTAGAGGGTCCTTAAGGGACGGGGGTCCGTGGGGGAGGGTACCTCGGGAACCTTGGGGAAGCTTCGGGAGCCTTAGGGCGTACCTGGGGAGCCGCCTCGAATCCCCCGTCCAGCAAGAACGGTTTAGGGTTTAGGGTTTAGGGTTTAGGGTTTAGGGTTTAGGGTTTAGGGTTTAGGGTTTAGGGTTTAGGGTTTAGGGTTTAGGGTTGTGTGTGGTGTGTGCGCGCGCGTGCCGTACTTGTGCTCTTTTGGGTCGCCAGAGGTTTCAAGCACCCGCCAAAGAAACACCCTGAAAGCTTGGAAGTTCTCTTGCAGTCAAGGCTTCTCACCTGATTGTGCAGTGGGCTGCTTTGGGTTGACAAGGCTGGCCATCACACCATCCTCCGAAACCGCAACCTCAGAGCCACGGTTTAGGGTTTAGGGTTTAGGGTTTCTTGGGTTTCTTCGTCTTCATCCCTGCCTGCATCGACTCAATAGAGACTTTGGCGCTCTGTCCCTTCTTGCGAGCGGCTCGCTTCTCATCTGAGTTGACGTACTCCCAAGCACGGGCTTTCTTCGGAGCTTCTGTACATGGCTACTTTCGGGGTCTGCTTCTGCAATCCCATTCCCAACCCCAAGACTGCACCATGAAGGTTTATGGTTTAGGGTTTAGGGTTTAGGGTCCATACACCCCCATCCCAAACACGCATACCTGCACATCCGGCGCACACCAGCTGCTTGACGCAGCTGTGTTGGCAGCTGCTGCTTGTTGCTGCCGTGGCTGCTTTTGCTCTGCGCTAAGGTACTAGGCTGCCCAGTAACCAAGGCTTGAAAAAGGTGCCCTTTTTTGCTTGAAGGGGTTTATAAGGGAACCTAAGCCCCCAAAAAAGGGAATAAGGGTACTACTGGGCATCCTAGGGTATTGTAAGACTAGCACGCTCAGTGCAGAAACGCGAGTCGCAACAAGAGCTTCTACGCGAGCTTACGCCAACGCCTTGGAGTGCACAATGGCTTACGCCAGCTTCCGCGCTTCGAGGATTACCTTATGCGGACCCTCTTACCGCAAGCCCCTTGCTTGTTTGCTTATGGGGGGTGTTGATCTCTGCCCTAAACCCTAAACCCTAAACCCTAAAACCCCTAAAACCCTAAAACCCTAAAAGACGAGGAGGGGGCCGGTGAAGTGGACGGGCAAGTTCAAGGAAAGTGGGCGCAGAGAGGGTTTAGGGTTTAGAGTTTAGGGTTTAGGGTTTAGGGTTTAGGGAACCCTGAGGGCCTCGAAGTCGTTGAAGGCAATCACCGCCGGCTTCGCCAGGAAGGCATCGCCACGGAACTCCTTCCCTGGGGCTCTTTGAGTGCAGTAGGGCTTTAGGGGCTCTTGGGTCTTCGTTTAGGGTTTAGGGTTTAGGGTTTAGGGTTTAGGGTTGAGAGGTTGAAAGTTTGAGAGCCGAGGGCCTGGGGTTAGGAGCCAAAAAACTGCAAACCCCAAACCCTAAACCTTAGCCTTACTTCCCTAAACCCTAAACCCTAAACCCTAAACCCTAAACCCTAAACCCTAAACCCTAAACCCTAAACCCTAAACCCTAAACCCTATACAGCGTGATGGTGAGAGTGGGGACGCAATAGAAATAGCAATATCCCTCGGCTCTCAGGCCCACAACTCCGAACCTCTAGGGTTTCTTCGCGTTCAGGGCTACCCAAAGCCTTCTGTCCCAACCCCAGAAAGCAATTCGCCCTGACTCTATGAAAGGAAGGAATCTTTAGAGCCCTCCCTAAAGCCTAAATCCTAAACCCCAACCCTAAACCCCAAACCCCAAAAAGCAAAACCAACAAGTATTCCACCATGTTCGAGGGGGTTTCGGGTTTTTAGAGTTTAGGGTGTAGGGTCTAGGGCTTAGGGTTTTAGGGGTTCAGGGTTTTCGGGTTTAGGGTTTGGGGGTTTAGGAGTGTAGGGTTTTAGGGTTTCAGGGTTTTAGGGAATCTCCTCCTCCTCCTCCCCCTGTAGCAACACTGCGTAACTTTACAAACTAAGGAGGTGTAGCTTAATGCCTCTTTTGGCCTCCTGAGCCCTACACCCTCAGAATAAACCCTAAACCCTAAACCCTAAACCACCAATGATGACAACACTTCCCTGCAGGGACTCGGGGCTTTTGGGCAAAAAACAAACATCGCAAGCATCAAGTCCTTGCCACGTCTGCACCTGGCCGGCGTCTCAGAATTAGGGTTTAAATTATGGGGGGGTTCATCCCGAAACCTTTACACCCCAAACCCTAAACCGTAAACCAGCAAACCCGTGTAGGGTGTTGGGTTAGGGTTTAGGATTTAGGGTTTAAAGTTTAGGGTTTAAACCTAATCCCGAAATGTATCAAGACTGTTGGGACTCGGGAGCTTGTGGGTTCTCACAGGCTGCTGAGGGTTTCGATTCAGAGTGAATTGAGTCCGCAGCCCAAACGCCAAGGGTTTAGGGTTTAGGGTTTAGGAATTGGGGAGACGAGGCTTGCGGGACTTAGGGTTCAGGATTCAGGGTTTGGGGTTTACTGCTTCGGGGGTTGGCTGCTCCCGTAGTTTCAAGTGGCCCATGTTCGGGGGGTCAAGATGGCTATGAGCCTGTAGCACTGAGCCCCAAAACACCTCAACCAACTGAACCTCAGCTACTGCTACCCTAAACCCTAAACCCTAAACCCTAAACCCTAAACCCTAAACCCTCAACCCTAAACGTAAACCCTAAACTTTATGAGGAACCTCGGCCCTGCCGGAAGGGAAAACAGGCCCACCAGAAGATTTAACCCGCGACCGGGGTTTAGGGTTCAGGGTTTAGGGTTTAGGGTTTAGGGTTTAGGGTTTAGGGTTTAGAGGCTTCAGGGCTTCGGGTTCCGAGATGCGAAGGAAGGTTTAGACTGTCTGCATTCTGGCGGTCTGGAGATTCAGCGGTTACGGGGTTTTAGGGTTTAGGGCCTGGGGCTTAGAGTTTTATGGTTCGGATCCTAGGGCATTGGGTTTAGAGCTTAGAGGGCTTAGAGTTTCGGGATCTACAAGGAGGGGCCCGCATACTATAGCAACTATACTTAAGGGACTTATAACCTAAGTTAGGATCCTTATACCCCAATTTAGGGCTCTTATAACTCTACTTACAATTCGGGGGCCCCTTCCTGTCGGGTTTAGGGTAACGCTTGCATTCTCGACCCTTGAATGCCTGCTGGTGGGGCGACTGTCTGACGGATTCAAGGCAAAATTAGGGTTTAGGGTTTAGGGTTTAGGGTTTAGGGTTTAGGGTTTAGGGTTTAGGGTTAAAAGCCTTAATCCACAGCGCGACAACCCTGACAACAAAAGTTGAAGCCTGAACTCCTAAACTAAGCTTAAACCCTAAACCCTCAACCGATGAAACAAAGAACGCTAAGCTCCAGGAACGAATTCAGACAAGTGTCGCTGCAGATGTTCTTCCGTTGCCGTTCCCTGGGTTCGGACATTGGGCTGGGGCTGGGGGGTTTTTGGGCTTAACCCTAACCCCTAAACCCTAAACCCTAAACCCTAAACCCTAAAGTTTCGGGTTTGGGGTTTAGGGCTTGCAAGAGGGCTGATAAAGGTTAGCGTGTTCAGCGTGCTTGGGGGGGGCTAAGGATTTCGGGAGTTACTAGGAGGAGGGGTTCGGGGTTTCGGGTTTCATCGGGGGACGACCATACGACCGCAACCCCAAAATCTAACGCGCGCGGACCTCGAAGGGCACCAGCAGCTTCGTCTCGAAAGCCCTAAGCCCTCACTCCGAAAACCCGAGGCGAAACCTGAATTTAACCTAGGCTGCCCAGTAACCTAGGCTTAAAAAGGGTGACCCTTTTTGCTTAAAGGGGTTTATAAGGGAACCTAAACCCCACAAAAAGGGAATAAGGGTACTACTGGGCATCCTAGTAACCCGGACGACTGCATGTGAACCTTGTTTCAACCCTAAACCCTACCAACCACAGAAACGGTTTAAACCCTGGATGCCCTAAACCCCTTTTAACCCTAGACCCTAAAGGCTGTAAACCCCAGAAATCACACTGTAAGCCCTACTGGCCTACAATCTCTTAAGCTCTCTGTAAAGCCTATCAACCCTTTCAACCCTAGAAACCCTTCAAGACCTGAAAGGCCTACACACCCAATAAGGTCCATAAACCCGATAAACCCGAAAACCCTATCAACCCTTGACCCTAGCAAACCTATCAATCCAATAAACCCTATAGTCCCCTAGTATCGGCCCTTATAAGTGTGCCCCATACAGGGCCCATACATCAGAACCCTTTCACGGAGGTTAGGGACCATACTTAAAGTCCCATGAAACTACCCTCAGATAAACCCCAAACCCGAAGTCCTAAACCCTTTGCACTCCTGTGCAAGAAAGTGCGCGCCCTGAATCCCTAGACCCTAAACCCTAAACCCTAAACCCTAAACCCTAAACCCTAAACCCTAAACCCTAAACCCTAAACCCTAATCCCTAATCCCTAAACCCTAAACCCTAAACCCCAACTCCTCGCCTTGCTGCGGCCATGTACTGCAGCTCCAGCTTAGAGTAGTTGGGCACCCAGAGCTTCTTGTCCACATTCTCCTGTGGGGAGTTTGTAGGGTTTAGGGTCTAGGGTTTGGGGTTTGGGGCTTGGGGTTTGGGTTTAGGGTTTGGGGTTTAGGGTTTGGGGTTTGGAGAGTTTAGGGTTTAGGGTTTGGGGTTTAGGGTTTGGGGTCTGGGGTTTGGGGTTTGGGGTTTGGAGAGTTTAGGGTTTGGGGTTTGGGGTTTGGGGTTTGGAGAGTTTAGGGTTTGGGGTTTGGGGTTTGGAGAGTTTAGGGTTTAGGGTTTGGGGTTTGGGGTTTAGGGTTTGGGGTTTGGGGTTGAAGGTTTGGGGTTTGGGGCTTAGGGAGTTTAGGGTTTGCAGCAGACCAGTAAAGTCCAACAGGTGAAGGTGGCCCCGCCACAGCTCGGCCTCAGAGAGGCAAGATATCAAATGATGTAGGATGGGAAAGAAGGATAATGTTGTTCGATAAGAACTCTATCAAAAGAGGACTGTGAATTTAGGGTTTCGGGTGTAGGGCGGTTTAGGGTTTAGGGTTTAGGGTGTACATCTTAGCGCTGTCCGACACCATCACGGCAACTCAAAGACTGTGCGATCATTGTTGGGGGCCCAGGGTTTAAGGTTTGGTACTGAGGGCTCAGGGTTTACCATTTGGGGTTTAGGGTCTTAGGGTTCAGGGTTCAGGGGTTTAGGGT